CCTAGTACCACAAAATGGGACTCTATTTGGAGACACTGAATTATGTTAAAATGTGGCCCATTCCTGTGGGCCCTAATTCAATCAACAGGTTAGTGGCCTTATAGAAACAAAACAAAGCAGAAACAGAAACAACGCCTCCCTCCCCAGAAAAAAAAAACAAATAAAAACAAAATTCCTTTTATTCTTCTCTCACACATTATATCCTGAATATAATGTCCTCTCAGACTCCTGCCATTCTGTTCCCCCAACTCCCCACTCCCCCAAATCTGCTCCTCCTCCTTTACCATTAAGAAAGAAAGAAATAATAAAAGAACAGGCTCCTAAGGATACCAACCACTATCCAACATGGCCTAACAAGATACAGTAACACTGGGCACAAACCCTCTTATGAAGCCTAGACAAAACAATCCAGTACAAAGAAAGAGGCCTAGATCCAGGCAAAAGAGTCAGAGACACCAACTACTCCCTTTGTTGGGAGACATACACAAATACCAAGCTATACAACCATAGGTATATCCAATCCTAACTCGGGCCCATGCAGGGTCTGTGTTTGTCCCTTCAGTCTTTGTGAGACCTTGGGAGCCTTGCTTAGTTGATTCTGTGGGCCATGTTCTCGTAATATCCTTGACCTCTCTGGTACCTACAATCCTTCCTTCTCTTTTGCAGGGGTTCCCATGACTTTACTTAGTGCTTACCTATGGGTCTCTGCATCTGTTCCCATCAATTGCTGCATGATGCTCTCTGATGACAACAGCAGAATTCCATTAGGACTCATTTCATTAACTTTTATTTTATGCCAGTTTGGATTGATTCTATCCCGTGTCTCTGAGCTGTCCTACCTCTAGTTCATGACTGTCCAGGCAGTGTCAAGCACGGGCTACTTCTCATGGAGTGGAGCTTGTTGTCATTCCAGTCATTGCTTAACCACTCCCACAAGTTATATACAACCATTACTTCAGCACATCTTGAAGATAGGAAAGATTTTAGGTCAAAGATTTTGTGGTTGGGTTGATATCCCACTCCCATTGCTAGGAATCTTGCCTGGTTATAGAAAACAGCTAATTCAGGCTCTGAAGGAAAAGTGCCCCAAAAGGAGGTGGGCCTATTAGGAGGTGTGCCGTTTTTTGAAGTAGATGTGGCCTTTTTGGAGAAGTGTGTCAATACAGGGGCAGGCTTTGAGGTTTCTTTTGCTCAAGTTCATTCAGTGTGATACACAGTCCACTTCCTGCTGTCTTCTGATCAAGTCACCTTGTTTGCCTATAAGCAGCCATGTAGGGGAAGCTGTAGCCACGCCTTCTTAGGGGCTGGCTACATGTGTGCCTGACCAGGCTTGTGAGGGCGTGGTCAGAGTGACGTAGTGTGACTGCATTTTGCGGTTTCGGTTTCTTTTTGGTTCTTGCTGTACAGGCTGCTGCCACCGGCTGGCTAGGTCGCTCTGTAAGTAAGGCTTTTCCCTATTAAATACCCTTATATTTCTACCTGACTCCGTATTGGTAATTTCCCACTATACAGCCATATTACCTGCAATGATGATAATGGACTGAACGTCTGAAATGTAAACTGTCTTCCGAGTTGCTGTGGTCATGATGTCACTTCACAGCAATAGGAACCCTATGAAAGGATCTCTATGCTTCATTATCAGGAGACTTTGAAAGTGTCATTCTCATAGAATACAGGGAGTTTCCACTGACCTAGGTTTCTACAACCCCCCAAATATCTCCCAATTCCTATTGTCTATCTCAGAACTCTCTTCATCCAGCCCTCCCATATTGCCTGATAGTTCGTGTTCCTGTCTCCATCCACCACTGGACCACTCACAAAATCTATTCTGCTTCTCCTTCCCAGGGAGATCCATGTGTTCCCTTTTGAGCACTCCTTGTTACTTAGCCTCTCTGGGTCTATAGATTATAGAGTGGCCTTTATATAAGAGTTAATATCCAATTATAAGTGAGTAAGATGTACCATGCTTGTCTTTCTGGGTCCCGGTTACCTCACTCAGAATGATTTCTCTTCTAGTTCCATACATTTGCCTTCTGAAAGCTGAGTAATACTCCACTTTAAAACAGTGCCACACTTTTCTTTATCCATTTTTTAGTTGAGGGACATCTAGGTTGTTTCTAATTGTGGTATTTTACTTTCTTAATTTAGTAACTTCCCACTTGGTTGAAATGAAGGTAAACCTACATACAAATTCTAATGTCAGCATTTAAAGGGGCCATTTAATTCACTCTCACAATTGTTTTGAATGTTTACCCATTGTTTAGTGTTCTTCAAAGCATTAACTGTACATCAGTGAATAATTCATGTTCCCAGACAGTACTCAGTCTGGAGACTGGAGAAAAGAAGACACAAATATGTAATTACAATGTCTAATTTAGGTTCCGTAGGATGGCTCAGCACTCAAATTGGGCATCTCACATGTGACGGTAAATACAGCTCCAGAGTATGTTATAAATACCCTCTTCTGGCCTTTGCAGATATCTGCAGCACATGCACATAACCACACATATACACAATGAAAAATTATGTTTAATTTTATAAATGTAACGTGTGTGTAAATATTTTATTTACAATTTAAGGCAATACTACATATAATATTTAAAAATTAAAACAACTCTTTTGAAAAGAGAGTAATACATAAAATCCCTAAATTTAATTTACATCTCTAATTTTAGTCATGATATGTCGGTTTCAAGGAAAAACTTGCTTTCAAATTTTTAGAATTACTTAGCTATAAATATCATATAGAGGCAACAACTTTATAATTTCAGCTAAATAGTTTGTGCAAGATTTGGGGGTAATTGTATACAAATCTCTATGTTCTAGTCTCTTTGGCATGAGAAAGTACTTTGCAGGCTACCAAAAGAGAGATATGGACACAACAACAGACAAAAAACCCTTGATCTACAATCTGTCCTGTCTGCAAAATATGCTAGGGCAATGGGGTCACAGAACTGGGGAGATTAGCCACCAATTGTCTGATTTGATTTATTTCCCATCCCAGGAGTAGGTATCCATACCTGGCACTGTTTCAGTAACCAAGGACAAGAGACTAGATAGGTCAGAGACTTAGGGTAAAACAAAACATTACTGGTTTTTTAAAAAAATCAATAAAATGTTCCTAAATCTATTCTTCTATACTCATGAAACAATGTATTATCCAACCATCATCAGGGAGGCTTCCTCTGGCAGCATATGGGAACAAATGCAGAGACACAAAGCCAGAGTTAGACATTATGTGGTGAGAAAGTCTAAATTGCAGATTTCCATCAAATCTCTCCACTCGGAATACTGAGAATCTGGCATAAGAGGAGGAAGATTGTAAAAGAAAGAGGGGGTGGAGGATTCTAGGAGAACAAGACTTTCTGAGCCAACTAAGAAAGGCACATATGAACTCTGAGAATAAAGCAGCAAGCACAGGGCCTTCGAGTGTCTATACCAGGTCCTGTGCATATACTATGGCTATTTGCTTGTAGGGGACAGTAAGCCACGCCTACTAGAGGCTTGCTACAGGTGTGCCTGACCACACCTGTTAGGATGTGGTCAAGATGAGGTCAGGATGATGCATGATGGGTTCTTAAGGGGCGGCAAAGCACATGGAGACCGTCTCTCTGGCCTGGCTGCCTTGCTGCCCTGGCATGCTCTGGCTTGTGTTTGGCTGGTGTTTATCTGAATAATGATATCTTAACCATATAAACTATGGATCAGCTCTCATAATACCTGGTGCCTTACATTAGCTTACTATTTTTACGTGACTCCTAACTTTGAAAATGAAGTCTCTGACTCTTGTGCCTGCTCTTGGGATTCTTCCTCCTGTGAGGTTGCCATGTCCAACTTCTATAAGATACTTTTTGCTTCATGTTATTATATTTTATTTTGTTATGTTTGGTATGTTGTCTAATAGAAGCCTGTTCCTTTTGAATGAAAGAGAGAAAGAGAATGAATCTGGAGGGATGGGCATTTAGGGAGGAACTGGGAGGCATAACTATAATTATGTGGGGAAATGAAACTATAATTTAGGTATATTGTATGAGAAAAGAACCTATTTACAATAAAAAAATCCTTAAGATTTTGAAAAAAATTATAAAACATATTACATTCCTTTAGTCTGTTCCTATGGAATAGTGATTATTTAGGTAGTATGTTAGGTAAAACAAGTCATAATTTCAATTATGGCTTTGTTTTTTAACAACAAAAAATCGAATCCTCATCCAAGTTGCCTGTCTACTATTTCCAGATTTCTGTGATATTTTTGTATTCTGTTCCACAGACTTAAGTGTCTATCCTCTCAATTCCAGTTTTGATGCTGATTACTTTAGCTATATTAAAATCTGATAACTCAGAGACAATCTATTTTAAGAATGGAAATCTATTTTGAGAATGAGAGCCCTCTAGCCTGAATGCCTAAGAATAGACAACACTATTTTTCTCCTTTTCATGTGAAGTGAAACTGAACAAAGAAAAGGATTTTTAATAAACACAGGAGTTCCATGTACTCCAAACACCAGTGTGGTGACATTTTGATGCAGATCCATTCAGGGTAATTAGATGATGAGGATGGAGTTTCCATAAAAGTATTCATGCCCATTAAAGAAGAGACTTCAGGAAATGATACCTCACTGGTTTCTCTGACAATATCTCCACACCAAAAATCTTCATGTACCCAAAAACTGTGAAAGTTTGAAGTTCTTGATAAAATACCATGTTTTATTAATTCATTATACTCTCCCAATCTGAATGACAGAGCTTCTTTGAAAAAATAAAAAAACAAGCCACATTTTATATATTTGTACACATTTATTTTCTGTTTTGTAAGGAAATATATATATATTACAAAATGATTAGATTGTGATTTGTTAAATAAGTTAAGTCAATGCAATTGAATATAATAGTATATAAAGTTTATATTACAAAAATTATGTTAATTTAAAAATCAATTCCTTTAATCATATCCTAGTTACATGCATACAAGTTTACAGGTTTAGCTGTTGCTTAAAAGGTAAGTATAATAATTCAAATCTTTTTAAACCTGCAAAGCAGTGGCAACCAAGTCACTTTAGTAGAACATTTTAGCACTTCTTTGATGTACTCGATGCAGAAATATTTAGATAAGGACAATGGTAATTCTGTTTTAAACAATGAAAGAAGTCAGGAGAGAAGTGTATGAAAGTGAACTATGACCCCATAACAATTCCTCCTTCGAAATTCAAACTGATGGTAATCTTCATGACCAGCTTATTTCTATTGGTTCATTAAGAAAAACATCCATTTGTTTCAGGTCAATTATTAGTATCTAAAAACAGAGAGTAAAGTTACAATTAATGGTTTAATTATAATTATATTTTTCCTGTTTCATTTATTTATTTATTTATTTTGGTTTTTCGAGACAGAGTTTCTCTGTGTAGCTTTGGAGCCTATCCTGGCACTGGCTCTGGAGACCAGACTGGCCTCGAACTCACAGAGATCTGCCTGCCTCTGCCTGGGATTAAAGGCATGACCCACCAATGCCCGGCTCCTGTTATTTTCTTTTTTAAACAAACATTATTTTCATATCAGGCCATCTGTAAGTAAACAGATACAGCTTCTCCTTATTTTGATGCTGGCATTCATACATGATTCCTTTTTGTGTGTGGTTCTAATGGGAGGGATGTTTTAGCTCACAGTCCAGTTTATAGCGCTTCATAGCCATGGAGTCAAAGTAGAATTTCTAAGTTGGGCACTTAAAAGAGCAAGTCATATCACATTCACACTAAATAACAGTAATAATGAATACATGAGTTCTTTCTAGCGCTCAGCTCACTTTGTCTTCATATAGTCTAGGACACTGACTCAGGGAGGGGAATAGTGCGCTGAGTCTTCCCAAGTCAATAAACATATTAAACTCCAATAGACATGCCCACAGCCCAACCTATTCTAGACAATATCTCATAGAGACTCTTGTCTGGGTGATTCTGGAGTGTGTCAAAGTGATTTATATATTGCACCTTTTCAAATTCTTGGCCTCTGTTTTCATTAGTTGTTGTTACTTATGTATATAATCCTAAATACCTAAATAAAATCTGCTTAATCTCTATAATGCTACTCACATGTTTCTTTATTTTCCAGGGATGACCATTTGGTACTGGGTAACCAACACAACTGACTTTGATGTATGTATTCATGCATGGGATTTATTGACATAGACTTACAAAAAGAAGAGCTTATAGTTGCTATTTTAAATGAATATGTTTTTATAAATCATTGAGATAATTTTATTAATATTCAACTTATTCTTGCATAGGTGTATAGTTAATGAAGCAAACTTCTTTTGAAAGAGTATGCTTTTAAATGGTATAATTCTCCCAAATGAACTTGAAATAACAAGTTCTGCATTTGACCCTGTTCAGCTGTAATTGTGCACTTAAATTTTATAGCAAAATTATCAGGTTTATTTACCACTGCTAAATAAATCAAGAAAATATAAAAGGAATGCCATCTGGTTTTTTCAATCTGACTACAAAATATTCAATACAACACAATTTATTTTAAAGTATGAATAATGACCAATAAAAACTGGAACTTGGAGAATTGATTTGCTTTTTGAAGGAAACAGTTTCTTTGTCTTCTACCTCTCACTAAAGGATTATTAAATAAGTATGATTTTTACTAGGAATTTTGTAAGTCAGAAAAATATTCACAAACAAAATAGACTCGAGGGACTACATTATCAAACTTTACCAAGATAGGGCACCGAATATTCCAAACTGCTACCCCCAAATTGACATAATTTAAATAAATTTAAATTTAAATGGTTTAATGTAAAATTATTAGAATGACTAAATTCTAAGTTGAAGAGAAACCCAATGTGCATAGAAGACATTACTATCAACACTGAATGCTCAGAGTAAAGTCAAAGAGCTTTGGCCTTGAAACCACTACACTAAGAGCCTAGGAAATTCATTAGAACCTAAGGTTTTCCACAGCTGCCTTTCTAAAAATTGAGGTTGGAAAATCTGATACTCTGTAAATCAAATGCACTTAAAGTGACTAATTGATCGCTAGCTTTTCTCATAAAAAATTAAAACTGAATAGTATATTTTTCTCACAGTTATGGTCATTAAGATGTGGCCTTACTCCTAGGAAACAGAATAAACTAAGTTCTTACATATATAATGTATTTGGACCACACTTATGAATCATAAATTCACACAACTTGGATGTAAAGGAACTGGTGAGATTGCATATTTCTACATATTTACCAAGTTTGGAAGAAAGACCTAAATTTCGAGTGGGAAATAAAAAAAAGAGAACAGTATCGGCAGTGGTGCTGTTCTAATACAAAAATCCCGATGCCTGGCTCAGAGTCTCCATCACCTCTCTCATGCAAATATTCATCATATTATGAGGAGCTACATTGTTTTCAAGACAATTTCAGAGACAATTTATCTAAGATGCATCCAATGCTCAAAACCAACCTTTCTTTTGAAAACAGTATTTGAGGAATTGTTAATTAATATTGCTTATTTTATATGAGGAAAATTATAAAATAGCTGTCATTAAATGGATTTGTATGGCAAGTTATTGAGGATAATGTAGTGACATCTTGCCAGGATAATGACATATAAGTAAATATGTGGGAGAAACAAGATTAAATTAGTGTCAAACACCACAGTTTGTAATTCTGTTTTAGCTCTGGTGATAACCTTGAGGAGTTGTGTAGATGTTTTACAGAGGCATGCTTGAGCAAAACACATCCATAAGTCACTTACCTCCTTAGCTGCATCTTGAGTAAAGTTAGTTTTTAGTGTATTTCCACCATAAGTCAAATTAACCTCGTTGACGCTGGTTGTTCCTTTCCCCCACACATAGACTTCTCCAAGTATCATCTCATATTTGTTTGTATGCCCATTTTTCAATATAGAGTTTGTTAAATTTTTCTATAAAGGTGAAGAAAAAGAAGTAAAGTCTCCATTTGTAAATTCAAAAAAATAGCCAGAAATATACATAGCTGGGAATCAAAATGAATCTCACTGCATAGAAAATTAGTGATTCAAGTATATTAAATAATGTTTTATTTAATGAACAGAGAATAAAATCCCACACATTATTCAGTACAATTGATTATAGAACATATTATGTACCTGGTTTAGATTGAATTGTATCAAGGTGTAGAGATCTCTTTCATAAGTGTCTGTAGAGAGAGAAAAATGCAAAGTGGTGTTATTTTTCAAAGAATAATATTAAATACTAACATACTTATTTTTCTTTCAGGGTAAAAATGGATGCCAGATGCATTTCTCACTAACGTCAAACACACAAAACGGATAAAAATATTACTTAGATACATGACTTTATATAAAGTCCATATTGCCATAATAAAAATATAGCTAACACAAAAGACTTACTGTGTGGCAAATTTTAGGTGCAATAACAGAAACACTATAGGGGATATATATATTATTTTTATCATCATCATTATTGTTACTATTTTCTTTGTAAAGAGAAGTAATCTGTCATATAAGAATCAAAGAAATGAAGAAACAAAATGTAAATATCATTTTCCTTGTAGTTATATAAGAACAGAGGATTTGGAAGATGGAAAAAGAAAAGCACAGTCACATGTATGATGGAAACGTAGAAAACCTAATGTCTTTCAATTCCCCCATCTACTTACATAATTTAGAATATGCAAATTATGGTCTATTCATGTCATTGTTTTTTTTTTTCAAAATTAACTTGCTGCTAAATTTTCTGATTCTAAAACTGATATTTTGCCACAAACATTTTTTATATATTCACATGACAGGAGCTAGTAACTTTGAATTTTTGTATCTGTATACATGTATGTGTGTATACATGTGTTTGTGCTCACTTATGTATGGAAGGTGCATGGTTTCAACTCCTTAATGTTTTGACACAGATTCTCCTATTAACCCAGAATTTGTCACATAAATGGCTCTGCTTATATTCACCCCCAAAATAAGGCTGGCTCAAATTCAGCACTGTAGGATTTCAAAGGCACACTACCATGATTTGGGAACACCCTAGGACAGAAATCAGATTCTCCTGTTTTCAAGGTAAGTAATTTAAAGCTGAGTCATCTTTGCTACTTTCAGAATATGTATGCTTAACGAAACCTTTAGGTATGCCTGATGCCAAGGGAGAACAAAACTTATATACTGAGAGTGTTAGCTATTTATTGTGATGTTAAACACAATTTTGAATACAATGAAAATAAATTTAAGTTTAAGATAGTTTCTTATGTTAAGATAGTTTCTTATGTTAAAAAGAAAGCCAGAAACAATGACAACAAAAACATATTGAATGTAAAAAAAAGGGGTGGGCAAAAAGAAGAACACAACATAAATCAATAGTAACACGTATTTTGTGCACCAATTATGCACATGGAACATGACGTGTTTGGATCATTGTCCTATTGTGTCAATGTAAATAGCACTGTGCTATCTTGTGCTGTAAATAACCTCTGCCTATACAATTCACTTAGCTTATCTTTTTATGTGGGGCTTAAGTATTTCTAAAGTAAGAGAAAAGTCCTTAAGTTTAAAATGTGTGCACTATTCAAGCAATTTTTATACTCTTTTTAACATTAAATGATATGTCTAGCTTTGTGCTCTGTTTTTAAGTACTAAGTAAACACAATGTAGGGAATATGCATGCTGTCAGCTCCATTTTGTCTGTTGAATGGAACACTCACCTATACTCTCTCCATCATCCCAAAATAGAGTTCCTTGTGCTGTTTGATTGTCATCTGCAGCAACGATGAGCCTCATGAAATTCTGTCGACTACAAGAAATACATAATTCTATTTGTGTTTTCAGACTAGGATATTTTATGATATTCATATAAGAATATGAATTAGAATGGAAGTTAAGAAAACAAATACCCAATCGGAGAAAATAAAGAACTTTTCTTCTACAAATGAGAAAAGAGATATAGAAAAGAAATTCATTATAGTCTATGTAAAAAATCACAAATATCATTTGGTTTAGGTGTCCACCTACTGCCTCTAACCAGAAGAGGATTCATTCATAGTAATTAAAGTCATTAAGTTTGTGGATTACTTTTATACATCACTATTTTAATCACTCTCTCCCTCCTGTTCCCTTTTTTGTTTCTCATAGTATCAGGATCAGACACAGGTGTGTCCAATATTCTGCCATTGAGCTCTAGCATCAGCCCTCTTAATAAAATTTTCAATACCTAAAACTTAAAATTTCTACAAATAAATCAATCACATATAATTGCATATTAAGAAGAATGAAAAGAATAACTAGATAGCCCAAAGTTCATTCTTTTTAATGGATAATGTCCCTCAGCTCATGCCTACATAGTTATATTTATGAACTAAACACAGCCCACTGTGTAGCACCATGTGAGAAATAACTTGGTTTGATGGCATCAAATGTAAATAATGTTATTGCTTTAACAAACTATTTTTCTGTCTTGCATTGGCAACCACAGATATTGAAACACATATTTTCCTGAAGTTTCCTAACATATCCAGAGTTTTAAAGTTCAATTTTTCAATAACTTTGTATTTAACTTTTAGATAAGCATCCAAAGCACAAATGTTTACATAAATATTAATTAACATTTACTTAGATAAAGGAAACTATATCTTATAAATATTAAAATCAGGTGTAGTGATATGCATAGTGGCATATAACTTTAATCCCATATTCCCATAGTTTTAGGAACTGGGATAGAACATCACAAATTCAATGTTCATATCTGTTACACACCAAAAGTCTGTCCTGAAAACAAAAATAAAACTCTGGCTGAACCCACAATTCATATATCTTTGAAAAATTATATTGATTTGTCTTATAGCTTACACTCCTACTTTGTATAAATGTAATGTCAATACCCCATATAACATGTGACCCTCAGCACATAAACAGAAATAAGAAGTAGAAGAAAGAATTCTCTCAGGAAACTGAAAGTTCTTCATGGTACAAATTACATATTCATATGTATATGTGAAAGATGGCTCAGGCAGTTAAGCAGAGTCTGTTCATAGTCACTGGGTTTTATCTTGTGGCTTTCCAGGAAAGTAGTCATAGGAAAGAATAAGGAAGCCAAAGGAAACAGTCATTCTTACATCAACCACATGACACTGACTGTATTCATATTCCTTGGAGATTGGACATATCATTAGGTGTCCTTATGAATTAGAAAAAAGAAAAGACCTGATGTCTTTTTTAAAATAATGACTAACAGTAGTGAAACTCAAAACAGCTATGTCTCCCTTAGTCTTCATACAGAGGAAGGCTATAGGAAGATTGAAAGTAGGTCTTGTTCCTTCAGACATCAAGAAACTTAATATTTTGAAGGAACTACTGTTAACTACATAGTTAATGGATATCTGCATTTTTGTAGAGTATAAGTCAAAAAAAAATGCTACAGAATAGAAAGGAAGGGGTAGATGCCAGGGTTCAAAGTAGAAATCAAAGGGAAATCTTCCAAATAAAATACACTTCAAATCCATAAGCTTCCTAAAATCAAATATTATTCAGTGAAGTAAGATGTCAAGAGATGGAAGAACTATGTGAGTATACTGCTAAGTAAATGAAAGTAATCTAAAAAGGCTGCATGCCATGTAGCTCAAAAAAATATATCATTCTAAGAGCTGCAAGTTGTGAATGTTAAATGCTCAGTGATTGCAAAGGGTTCCGTGGGGTTGAGTGGATGGAGAATGAAGGGTGTTTGGAGTAATGGAACTTCTCTGTGTGGTATTATTTACTGGTTTACAACCACAGATCACAAAAGATTAGGCATAAGCCTTGTTATAAACTATTGAAACTGGATGATAGTGATGTATTCTTGCTGGTTCATCAAATAATGGTGGTGCTGTTTATAATAGAGGTTCTGAAAATGGCAAATGCAGTGAAAACTCTAAGCCCTCCTCTTAGTTTTCTACAAATCAGATTTGTATTCTAGCACATCTTACAAAAATACCATTTTCAGATCCAGGAATGCAGCTCAGGTAGACAGCTAGCTCAGCATATCTAAATCCTGGGTGTGAACACAGGGCCTACAAAAGCTAGGCAAGGTGGAACACACCTGAAATCCCAGGGCTCAGGAAGGAGAGACAAGCAGTATCAGAAGATTAAGGTCATCCTCTGCTACATAGCAAGTTCAAAGCCTGTCTATATTATATGAAATCCTGCCCTAAATATTTTTTTAAAAAATTATATTAGTTAAAGACCCAGAAAAGAATGGTTTTAAGAGGTGTGATTAGATCCATGTTGTAGTTAAAAATAAATGATGACCTTGCTTAGGCAGCTACTCCAAAAATAAAGTATTTGTTTGCAATTACCTCTGCACATGGTATAGTGAGATCATGAAGTTTGACTTTGTATTTCGTCAGGAAGCCTTATTTCAAAGGGGATGTGTCACTCAAAGACAATTTCTCATGAGTTTTCAACATATGCACATTGCATGCAGAGAGATAATATTAGATTTTTAAGTCACATTTTAAAGAAAAATTTTTAGTAGGTGTTGTTGGATGACAGGGTCACATCTTAAAATGCTATAAATTACTGTCAAGATAAGGCTAGGTAGGTTTGTTGGAATCTCAACTGACTCAAAGCCTATAGTATCTACCAGGATGAGGTCAGTTCAGCCCAGTGGAACTAGGGAGTAGGGAAAACTGAAGTCCATCAAAAGCCCCTTTTTCTGCCATGCATTCTATATATTATTAAGCACCTGTGTTATTACAGAAGGATCACACGGAAAAGGTCAGATCCTTTCTAACTACTGACTTCTAGAGCAGAATATATTACAAAATAAAATGACAGTTACCTTAAATATGTGTTCTGTGCGGGCTCTTGGCATGGTAGAATATAACCTCCTCGGACATGCAGATTTATTTTATCAAAAGGAGCTGCAAATGTTTGCTTTTGTCCTCTGACCTTTATATCTTCCCCCTGGTAAGAAGAAAGAAGGGAAGAATGAGAAATGAAAGAATTAGTAAAGCAAGAATGTAAGAAGACATATTTATGAAATCAAATGTTACAATTTTCCACCTAAAAAATAACAAAACACATGATTCTTAAAAAGAAATAATCTAGTTTAAAGTGTGTCCTTAGGTCTTGGTTATATTTTTATCCTCGTGCATATTCCTTGTTTTCAAGATCTCCTATGCAGAAATGTGTGGATTTTGCAAGGTCACAAAAGATGAAGAACTCTACTATTTTTAATGATCATTTTTTCTAACCAAAAGAAGCAACAGATATTTGTAATATATAGTATACATTTTTGTGCTTATTTGCTAAAACAAAGCAATGTGCTAAAACAAAACACATTAGAACAGAATAAATGAATTGTTCCATGGTATGCTAATTTGATACACTGATAATTAACAGCATACAACTAATTTTGAATTTTAAGTGGAAAATAAACAGATATATAAGTTATCATATGAATCATCCAAATATCATATATTTCAGTTTAGTTAACTTCCAAGAATTCTTCCAAAACTTACTGTATAGTAGTCAAACCACCGAGCATTAGGGACATAGCCAGTCACACTGGTTCTGTACTAGAATTGAAAAAGAAAGTCATTGAAATCTTCTGAAATGAAATCAAAACATTTTGTGAATAAACACTTGGTCATACTTACAGGCTCAATGACAGGAGTCACCATAAATGCTGGACCCCACAGGAACTGCTCATATATTTCCCAGGTTCCCCTATCATCAAAGAACCTTCACAAAAGAATCACAAAGTATTCAGTTAAACCAAAGAGCTGGTTCTCTTGTGAACACTATAAATTGCTTACTCAGATGACAGTTTGCTGTAAGAACTTTTGTGAAATCAACAAAAATCATGCTCAAAACAATAGTTAAAACAAAAAGCTATTTTGTTATTTAAAACACAGTGTGGAGCATTATATACTTTATGAGTAAAAGCAAATTATGTATAAATGTTCTAATAAAAAGGATTGTTAAAGAATGTTTGAACAATACAATGACAAGTCCCTACAAAGTACAATTTGTATGTGGGGGGGTGTTAATACAGGTTTTTAAATATGAACTTTGTCTAGTAAAGGATCAGCAAAATTGGAAGCAGTAATGAAAAAACAGCCTGAAAAAGTTGGTGAAACTTTCATTATATGGATGTTTATTGTTTCTTTTTAATATTGTAAGAGGTTTTTTGTTTTTAGACAAGGAGTGTAGGTTTACACTTGTAATCCCATACATGAAAGCTGAGGCAGGAGGTTTGCCATGCGATGAAGACCAGTCTGAGCAGCATAAAGAGTTCCAAGTATGATAGTAAATTCTGTTTCCAGAATGCACATACTCTTGAAAAAATAAAACAAAAAATTAATGAAGACAAATTGGTGTAGAGATGCCTTTACCAACAGGTAAAGGACTAAGATAAAAATCTTAGAAGCTTGGAGTCCCACTGATGCATAGAGAATGCTTACTTCAAAAAACAAACATAAAAAATATCAAGATGGTGGAGGTATTAGTGGGGGGAATGGCCTGTCTTAGGACTCTTCATTTTTTTAAACATATCTTTTATTTTTTAAAATAAAAATATTTTTAAAATATTTTTTAAACATGTCATTAAAGATTCTTGCATATCTAAGTTGATTTCTAACTCTGAAAACCAAATGATCACAGAAAAGAAATATTACAAATTTGGAAATAGTCGCTAGCAAATGTTCCCATTTATTATGCTATTGAAATTAAATAATTAATCACTTTTTACAAAGTGGTTTTAGTTTTGCTTTTGTTTTCTTTCATTAGCAACTAAGAGTAGTGGTAAAGTAACAGTTGGGGTTTAGCCTTCAAAAAACTCCCTTGAGACAAAGGTTGAATCACTTTCAATAGGACAGAAAAATGTTCAGAATACATAACCAAACTCTCAAAATTTAGAAATGTAAGAGGGATTAATATGAAATGTTAAGAGTAAGAATGCCTGTATGATGATGAGAGAAACAGCAGAATGGCAGCATGTAAGAAGGTATTGGTGAGGTAAGAATACAACCTTGATGCACTTTGAAAGGAATTGGGCATTTTTTTTTTACTACAACCTTTATTCTTTTTTAAAAATTCATAATTTCCCTAAGAATTTATTTTGTGTTTTAATCATATTCACAACTGCCAGGTCCTTTAATTTCCACATCCTTTTGTTTCTCCACCTTACAGAAAGCTACTGGGTCCAAATAGTGCTACCTACATACTCTTGATTCTATGGCCATCTCCTGGAGCATGTTGAAACTCCCAGGAGCTACATACTTGAAACTAGTTCTCCCTCTCCTACCAGTCATCTATTATGATTAGTTCCTCAGCCAGGACTAGGATTTCCTGTCTATTTTCCCTTTCCATGCTAGCATTTTGTTTGGCTTGAGCCAGATAAGTCGTGCACACTGTCGCAACACTGTGAATTCATACGTGCAGTTGTCCTTCTGTGTGTGAAAGACACCGTTCTTTTTTAGTTGGCCATAGAATATGGCTCTTGCAATCTTTCTACCTCTCTTGCAGTGATTGCTGAGCCTGGGGAGGGGAGTTTCTGTATCAGTGTCCCATTTAGGGCTGAGCACATTGAAGCTTCTTGCTTGCCACATCTTTTAATCTTTAATCAAAAGTCAGGGCATAAAAATGAAAACTATTATTTTGATAAATTTATTTTGAGTACTAATACATAATTTATTCTATACAGTTGTGATTCTTATTACTTTATCATTAGTAAAAATTGGCAGGCCACCACATTTAATTAGTCATCTAAAATAGTTGGAGAGTTGAGAAGCAAAGTGCCTTTATGAATAAGTTAAAGAGTTATTTTTAAAATAAATATTACTTTGTAATGATTTGGCATGTTATATGTTAACTGGTTACATTGGTAGCTTTATTAGACTTATTTTGTAAACCCTTAAATTCAAAATATATAGTATTAGTTTAAAATATATAGCAACTACAAAATACGATACATGATACTCAATAGATTAAATGAAAGCTACTTGTGGAAGAAAAAATACATTTTGTTCTTACTCATGCATCAGGGGTCTGATGACAGTGCCACCATGAACATGGGCTTCATGCATCTGTGTGTAGAAATAGGGCAGCAACGTGTATCTGATTTCTAGAACATTCCTGGACATTTCAGCAAAAGTTTCATTCCAGGAAACAGGATCTTGCCTCTAAAATAAAGCATAATGTAACAGTCATATCTCATAGTTTAAATTTTAACAGTCAAATTGGAAAATAAAAGTAGCAACTTAACAATGCCATATGCTGTGAACTATCTTTACAAAAATCCCAAATGCTGTCTCAGTGCTCCTTTCATGGAGAATGAAAGTGTTACAATATTAGTATTTTTAAAGATAAAGCAAATTAAGCTGAATGCTTAATTTAGTATTAGTAAACATATAAAAGTATAGTTCATATTTTAAAAGATGATAAATACTCTGTCATCTATGATAATACTCAGTGACAAAATATTAAATCTAGCAAGGAAATTAAATGATTTATTAAACCAAGGTGTGTCCTGAAATCCAAGAAATAAGCCAAACTCCCTACACTAGACTTGTATGCCATACATGCTCAAATGAAATAGATAGATTACAGTATTGAATATTAATAATACAGGAGAGATCTTAACTGATAGCACTAGTCCACTTTGGAATATACATTTCTAGCCAAAGACGTAGTATTGATGATGCAGTATTAAGAATATACAAAAATATCTTTTGTATAAGGGAAATGAGGAAAATTGATTTTTGTATATTTTAATTTGTACCATGTATACAAACTTCACTTCCTCACAATTACAAAGAACTCCTCTCATGTTTGTTTATAACAATTATTGGGAACCCTTTTAAAGCTACATCATGTTTATGAACATTCCAACTTTACTAGATTTGGGAAATAAGAGAGTTGAAATGATAAATGGGTGTTCTGCCTAGCAGCTTCACTATTAGAATAAGTAAAGAATTGAAACTACATTACCCTAACAATTATGAAATTATGTGTGATCCTATGCATGTATATGTGTTAGTTATTAATACATACTATATTTTAGAATTTTCATAGTCAAGTAATTAGAAAGAAACAAAAATCATAGGATATGGCAAAATTATTTAATCTCATCTTTTGTTCTGTTGATATAGTAGTATATGTATCTAAGCCAATAAAGTGTTAAGTTCAATTTTATTAATTCATTCTTAAACAAGTTGAGTTTTATTTTCTGGCGACATTTACTTATAATTATTTCTTTCATCTGTTCTTCTTTCACTGTTATCTCTTTTCCAAAATTTTACCAATATTACCATCTCAGGGACTTTTGAATCTGAAATTATACATCCGAAAATTTCCTCCTCCAAATATTTATAATTTTCCGCACTGAGATATGTGCTCAAATGTCGCCTTGGGGAACTACATTCAGGTTCAGTATCTCCATGCATTTCTTCAACTTTATTTCCCTTAGCCCTTGCTTATTTGACTTTAAAGGGTTTTAAATATAATTGAGATATGAATATAAATATAAATAAATCACACTAGGATGTAAATAATCACTAGAATAGATACACTAACTATTTAACATATACACTTTGAATTCCCTAAATCACTCCTTTTTTATTTGTGCCTTTTTAAATGCTTGACCCTTTTCTCTGATGTCAGAATCTCCTATGTTTCTAACAATTTTCTATTATATTTTTTATATTTCTTTAAAATATTTCACCACAGTTTACCTGTCTTTCAAACTGCTTCAGAATTCAGTCCTAACTTGTTTTGTATCCTTTTGTATTTTGGCTATTAAGAAAATAAATTCAACTTTTCTAGTTCAAGTAAAATTTGCTTGGTACAAAATTTTCTCAGTGCAGCTTGCATCAGTTGATTAAGAAATATGTTTGGACTGTGCCTTTCTATTGTCAACCTTTGACTAATATGTTTTCTGCTCAGTTTGCCTTTTCTCTGCATTATTAACTAAAAGTTTAGCACAATCTAGTGCATAGTACAATATTGCCTGTAACTGTTCACAGTATTCCATGAAAATTATGCACTGTTTCATATAGCACTCAAAATTTGGATGCATGAAAATAATCAATAACTATCAGTGATTGGTACTGAACAAAAATCTGTTCCTATAATTCATGTTCTTTTCTAGTTTCTCAATTTATCAACTTGCTCTTTAAATATTTGATTTTAAATCTTCCCATTTAATACATCATTGCAAATGTCTCATATTTCTAATCAATTTTGTTCCAAGTTGTTGTTTTTTATTGTTGCTCTGCCCCAGTGTAGGACATTCTCCTAACTCTTCCAAAATCGTGTAGAACAGCTACAGTATGTGTGTTTCATAGCCAAGCCATGCACGATGGTTATAAATTGGGTTCTAAAAGTCTTTAAAAGATGGGCTAAGGCCGGACAGTGGTGGTGCATGCCTTTAATCCCAGCACTGGGGAGGCAGAGGCAGGCAGATCTCTGTGAGTTCTCTACCAGCCTGCTATAAAAGAGCTAGTCCCAGGACAGTCTCCAAAGAAAAACCCTGATTCAAACAAACAAACAAACAAACAAAGTAAAAAACAGATAGGCTAAGTAATATTTCATAAATATGAACAAAATTGAAGCATTCATTTCAAACTCTGTCAAGTAAAATGTGATTGAAACAACAACAAATAATCTAAGGTTGTGTAGGAGAAAAACAAACACAATAAAACAAAATTGACAGAAATGTAGTAATGACATACTCTGGTAAATTGAATGTTGTGGTTTCGTGAATATGGATAAAAGGCTCCAACTTGCATCCAACGAGTACAGAGATGATATTCTGAATCATTAAAAAAACCACAGATATCTGCTCCAACCTAAAAGACAGTTATATTTAGTGCATATCAAGTACTGTTCCTTAATGGTTATAGAATAAAAATATAAAATGAACAGATCTACTTACATATGGTATCCCAAAAAGATTAAATTCTAGCATACCTAAAAATTAGAATAAACTTTTAGTATTTTAATTTTATTAATGAGGATGCTATCGTCATATAAGTTCTTATTAAATGAGACATTTTAGTATTACTAATAAATTAGTCTTTTGTAATCATTCTTCTTCTACTTAGTAGTATTAATGATATTCTCAAAAATGAGAGATCATATATATGTTTTAAGACAATAACATTATAACATAATTTAATCACTAGTAAGTTATAAATACACCATAGTAACATAAGACTAAGTAGTATTATTTTCCTCAATTATATTTTTAAAAAGAAATTGTTTTTCTGCTATTATTTAATCATTCATTTTACCATATAAAACAAATATAATTACTTTTATTAATTAGTATTAAAATGATAACTTCAACATAATAGATTGCATGTAACTTCTCAGGTCTTTGGCAAAGTAAATGTTGTAAATGTGGTTTTAATGAATCTTTCATTAGTCAAATTGTTATTTGTGGTTTGAAATGATGTAGCCATTTGCTACTATCAGAAAAGACTTTGTTTTAATGTGTTTCTTCTTGATTACTTCTCTGTGATTCTTATTCTCCAGCAGATAATGTCTACCCATTTGCTTCTTAGATGTAGAATAGTGTCTCTTCAATCTCACACCTTCTTCAACTACGAAACTGTGTCCAAACCGGATAGTGATTTTTATCCAAATAAACTAGCTGAGTATCATCAATCAGTTGTTTGTCTGTAGCATCCTTGATTATGCCTGCCTGACTAGTGATGCCATAAGAATGAGGTGAATATTTTCATTCTTACAATTTAGTAGTGATATTTATCTAGCACAAAACAAAACAATATTTATTATTTTTTAAAAAATGATAAAAGATAATTATCACATACCAATGAGTGAATTTTCCAAATTTGCCCAGTTTGCATAATTGTCTCCGAGCCAGTGTCCCCCCCATCGACCAGCTGTGGGATATGTAGACCGAGAGATGACTATCCCTCTCAGGCCAGTGGTCTTCCGTAATGCACTATACAATGAAAACATACATACATTGCATTACTCATTTTCTTTAAATATTTCTTTTTGTCCTTGTTGTTTTGTAAGACAGAGCTTTTCAAAGTAGCCCTAACTGTGCTGGAATGTTTTTTTGTTTTTTTTTTTTTGTTTTTTTTTTGTTTTTTTTGTCTTTTTGTTTTGGTTAGTTAGTTTGTTTTTTTTTTTTCCAGACTGGCCTTGAATTCAGAGATCTGCCTTTACAGTGCTAGAATTGAAGGCTTGAGTTACCATGTCTGAGTTAAATGTTTCTGAATAAACAACTTCCATGAAAACATTGCATCTACTTTATGGTCAGACTTCCTGTCACAGTCAGCTCTTCACAACTGAGCCTTCACTCATTGTGTAGCATGACAAATAATTTTCTTCCCTTCTATAAATAGAGTGATATGCATATATAACATGAAATTTTCCTTTCTTAACATTTCAATGCATGTAAGTTAACTTAAATAATATAGTCAAGTTAATTAATCAAGTAGAACATTTTATTCTACTTAAATTTTTGACATTTAGTAGAAGTGTGATAACTCAATGCAGTTCTCAGCAATAAACAACCACTTCTATTGTACATATTAATCTGAAGAATGTATTTCCTAAGGCCTCCCCTGCTTTATAGTAAATAAAGAATGGAAAGATTTAATGGATCACTTATTTTTTAAAAATAATCATCATGCTTTAGCTGTAGAATTTATCCCAAGTCAAATCTTATCAAGAAAATATATTATACAAATTTGTTTATAATTAGTAGCTTTAGCAGGGCATTGGTAGCATAAGCCTTTAATCCCAGCACTCAGAAGGCAGAGGCAGGTGGATCTCTCAGAATTCCAGGCCAGCCTGGTTTACAGAGAGAGTTCCAGGAGAACCTCTACAGCAATACAAAGAAACCCTTTCTTGAAAAACCAAAAAAAGTAGCTTTAATGATTTATACATAATAAAACATATTCCAATTTTAAAATATAATATAGTAATACATTAATTTATCTGCATCTTTTTCACTTTTCTCTGTCATTCTTCAATTGCTTTCTCATCTATTACTCTCTTTCTCTGATTAACATATATATATTGTATATATATATATGTTAATCAGAGACATATATTATATATCCAGAAACATAATAATAATATATATTATTAATTGAAAGAATTAATTTCAGAGACATATATATATTACTAATATATATACAAATATATATATATATATATATACATATATATATATATTATTAATTGAAAGAAAATTTGTTGTTACTCAAAAATAACTATATGAATACAAACTATAAAAGAATTTTGGGATGATAAATGTGGTTAATGCCTTTAATCAGAGCACTCTGGAGGTAGAGGCAGGCACATCTCTGTGGGTTCAAGGCCAGCCTGGTCTTCAGAGTGAGTTTCAAGACAGCAGGGCTACAAAAAAAAACTCACAGACAAAAAAAAATTTCAGGACATGACAACCCAAATACATAATTAGGTAGTTTATAATATTGACTAAGTTCATCATCAGAATCAAATACTATTCTGGTCACAAAAAGAAACACTGTGACTATTATTATCTGCTTAGCTCTAACAATTCATTGTGTTTCTTCGTTATTCAAATGATGGTTAGGGTCAGCCACCAACTTGATATAGTCTAGAATATTCTAGGCATCTCTAAATACCCATGGGAGGTTATCTGGATTATGTTAATAACTACTTTAACTTGCATATTTACTGAAGCTTTAATTATGCATTTGTACATTCAACATTATTCATTGTTTATTGTGCTAAGTATATTTTGGACAACAAAATAAATATGGCTTATGATCCTGTGGGATAACATGAAAAAAAAAAACAATAAGAATATAATGAAGACAGATGGATTTTGTTTGATTGCTCAACTGATCATCAGGTTTCTGAGACTTGTGAAAGAAGAAGCAATTTACAAAGAACAATTGGAAATGAAAGAAATTTGGCAAGACTCTTAAAATATGTCTTGAAGCTGATATCATTACTATAACAATGAATTAGAAAGCCAGAGAAGAAAATGACAAACATTACTTACTCCAGAGTGGGTTTAACTTGTGACCATCCATATAAATTGTGCACATCATAATGCAAAACTGATGACCCATCACTAAGAATCTGTTCAGTTTCCATGCACATGGTCCGGAAATGTAACCCCTCTGTTCTTTTTGTGAGTTCTGGGAAAACCAAGGAAAATACAGTAATGCTTTGGAGAATATGACTTGAATTGTATAGATCATAACTACATATTTTTTAATTGTTAATGTTCAGATTCTAATTTTATTAATTATTTATAAGATTCATATGAAGTGCAAGGTAATGTTTTAATCCAGTACAAACTGGATAGTAAACAACTCAGAGTCATTAGCACAATGATCACCCAAAGCTTTAACCATTTCTTTATGGTGTATATGTGAAAACCTGTCCTTGTAAACATTTGGAAACACCATACACTATTGTAAGTTATATTCACCTAATGTGCCATATAAGACAGGTATCCTTTCCCTCAAATGACAAAATAGCATCTACTCATAATTTTTGGCAATCAAATTATGTGATTTCAAATAATTATTGATTTTTTAATCATTTGTACACTTTGTGTATACTAATTTTAAGTGTCTATAATCATCTGTATAATAGTCACTGAATCTTGTGTTTATATAAAACCTAAAACATGAATGCATTGTCAGTTACATACAAGTTTTAAGTTTTACTTTAAAATTTTTATTTATGTGTATATTTTCATGTACACAAGAGTGTAAATGCTCAGGAAGGCCAGAAAGCAGTATTGGATCAGCTAGATCTGGAGTTACATAGATAGTTTGAGCTGCCATATGTGGATGTTAGGAACCAAACTATAGTTCTCTACAAGCGCAGGGAGCAATCTACCTGTAAGCCATCTCCCCATCTCTGAAATGTCTACTACTTTTTATTCATTTTAAATGAATAAAATGAAAAATACTAATTCAGTACATTGTCATTAAAACAATTCAATTGATTCCCATAGGAGGCCTCACCCCTTCTGAGGAAAGGATGGTGGGTGTTGACAGGAGGTGGGGGAAGGATTGGGAAGAGAAGAGGGAGGAAAAACTGTGGTTGGTATGTAAAATAAATTTTAAAATGTAATACAAGAATTTAAAAATAGAAAAAGTATCCAATTGGAGCACAACTCTCAGAACCAATGTCATTATTGTCTTCACAAAGCTTTATGTTTGTTGCCTTCTTCCAGACATTAGCTGTTACCACATCACAAATGAGCAGAGAATATTTTTCTTCTATTTTTCCCTTCCTATGAATAATTACTGCAAGCAATTTTTAATGAGTAAAGAGTATTAAATCATTTAACACAGAAAATTCTGAGGATAATATAACAAAACAAATTAAATTAAGCTAGAATTATGGGTAAAGAAATAAAACATTTACCTTCCTCTCAAAACAGTGTTAGATTATTGACATTGGACCTGAGATTGGGCATATTGTACTGTGTGACTGACTACTGAAAATTTAGAATGAATTTCCACTTACTGCAACTTAGGGTCTACATAATCAGTAAACATCAATAATGATGCCATATTATAAAAAGTATAGCCATCAAATTCTACCTGGGAAATAAGGAGGGTAATTTAGTGTATCATTTCTGCATCTATTAGTAACTGTTCCATTTACAAAACTGGAAGGCTCGTTCATATCCTGAAAGAGAAAAGAAGTTTTAAGCATTTTACTACATATCTGTTGGCAATATTAATTGATAAGTAACACATGTTTGTAATTCCAGTACTCAGGAAACTGAAGCAGGGCTTTCATCATCCTGAGGCACTCTGGGATACCTGCGGAGTGGGGACTTTCATGGTAATCAACTTGGACTCTTGGAGTGCAAATAAATTAAATTAAACATTTTGTTTACTCCATATTTCAAAGCTTCAGAATATTTCACGAAGATGTATTGTTCAATTCAGAATATTTAAAGTGACTTCTACAATCTGCCTCATTTTAAAAACATAAAATACTCTATTACCCACTGTAGATTATGCACATGAGTGAATCTGAGTAATATGCTTCCATAATGTAAATTATGACATTATATATCTTATAAATTCCTCTCCCCTCAGCCTTCTTCAAAGGGACATCAATTGTTTTAGGTTTAAAAATACAAGATGTAGCTTAAATGTAGACAGCTTCAAGGGACATCTCCACGTTTGATATCAGCCATAGTGTCAGGATACAAGGAGCATCTGTAGAGACCACATGGATTAGAGGCTCTGTAGTCCTGCATGGTGGATTAGAGGCTCTGCAATTTTACAGGATGGATTAGAGGCTCTGTAATCCTGCAGGATGTATTAGGGGCTCTGTAATCCTGCAGGTTGGACTCAAATCTAAATATCTCTCAAGAAATGACTTCCCACAACTGAGTTGTCTTCTCTGACCCATGTAAACTCAAGGACACATTTGTGAAATATTTCTTACACTTCAAATATTGTAATATCAAATAAATATTGAATTTAAATTGGATAATATGCAATTTTTCATGTTGTATGTATGGTCATGGTAGCACCGACATTACATTTTCTTAGTTACAAACTAAGAAAATGCATGTATTCATTTGCAAATCATCCCAGAAAGCAATGCCACTCTAGAAAGCTAACAAGAATCACATACATTCTCCTGCATTAAATATTTACTGATAGAAAATTACATTCTTTTCGTACCACCTCATCACTAGACAGCTAAGTTTTTACTAAGATAAGAAAGTTGTTTGAAGGGCATTACTTTCTAAAAGTTCAATATTTGAGTGTGACATTCTTGAGTTAGGTAAAAAATAAAATAAGTGGTTAATATATTTTCATAATAGGACACATAGGCTATTTTGGTTGCATGATCAAGTTGAGAAGCCCAGGAAGTCATGTGTATATGTTAAATAGTTAAAGATCTATTTTTAGTATTACTTTGTATAACAATGTTTAGCAACAAAAATTTGAGCTAACCTGCATAGGGCAGCATGGGCATTATTAGATTTACAAAACCTCTATATAATAAATATAAAACAAAACCTTAACATCTCACTTACAATCCACAAGCCATCAAACTTCATTTTTTCATTGTAGAATTCAAAAATTTCTGTTGCCCACCACTCTGCTGTGACATTCTTGAAGAAGTCTGGAAATGCTACATGTGCTCTGGAAGCCTAAATAAATCAAAATGGAGACCCACACTCAAATTCAGAAAGTTCTCAGAGAAAGGCATATGTTAACAGAACTTTGTCCTCAGATTCTCTAGTTACACATGTGTAACAATGAATATGTTTTTTCTCCATTGTCCAGGGGCAATGGGACAGGGATAAAAGTGCACAGAGAAAGAGAGACCACCTGCCAATTTTAAGTGAGTGATAAGAGAACAGCTTGGCACCTGCTGGTGGCATATGCGCTGGTGGTGGCACAGGTCTTTAATCCCAGGGCTCAGGGACCAGAGGCAGGTGGATCTCTGTGAGACGGAGGACAGCCTGGTTTACAGAGTGAATTTCAGGACAATCAAAGCTGCTACAAAATGAGAGAGGAGGAGAGATGTGGGGGGGGGGAGAGAACAGCCCAAGGATTGCTGTGGAAGACAGGCAGAATAATTTGAAGACTTGGAAGTAGTAGATGGCTACAAGATGGACAAAATAGAGCAGTTTCACATATGAATCACAGGGTTGTGACAGCACACACAAGGTCTATGCAAGTTCATTCCAGACAAAGTCCCTCCATGGAGAGCGGAAGTATGCATGAAGTCCAAGCCCTAGCTGGAACTTTTGGCAATTGATAACTGTTATGAGGAGAGACAGGTAAATCTCTGTCTTCTGTGTCTGAAAATCTATATTCTTTGAGATAAGCATGATAATACTCCTCTTTTTACCATTGCTTTGAATCTAGTTGCACAATGCTGAGAAATATGGGGTAATAAAGGAAAGAAAAATAAAGCATCAATTCAATAACAAGATACTTAAATTCTTTTACATGTACAACGTATCTCATGTTAAGCATTATTAAGATAAAAATTTTAAATACTATTGTCTTATGAAAGCAATGTAAAATGCAATTGCCTCATTCTAAAATTTCATGTTGGAAAAAGTTTGATAAAGGTGATTAAAATTAATCCAATAAAATATAAAATATTTAAAAGTAAACTTCCTCCTTTTAAAGGAAAAACTCAAATTCAGTCATACACTAATGTGACCTTTAATTCTAAATTGTGAGTTTTTTAAGCTATAAAGTCCAGCAGCACAAAACTTACATTAACAGCTTCATCTTCTGTTAAACTCTCGTTTATTTCAATATTAGGTAAATCTGGCCAAACCTGCAAGAATGTATAAGTGATTTATTAATTCCAGATGCATTAGTTATGACTGCTATAAAAATTAGCAACATGTGAGTAGAAGTGTAGTCTAACTTTTAGACCCCTGGCACTTTATTCCCTATGGTTATATCTTATCTATTTCATTTTACAATATTTTTAGATTTAGAGAAAACATGATGAAAATTAGTGTATTTCCTTCACCTACCTTCCCTTTAACCACCACATATGCAATATGAATAACATGTTTAGTGCTTCAACTCTATCACTTTCATAATTAATACAATAATCTTGATACAATGACAACAATAAAAACAACCATAAATTAGTGAATCAGTAAAATAAAACCAAACTAAATATATAGTGAATTATGTCACCACCACAAGGATTTATGAAATTACTTCCATTTTAAATATCATTATTCAATGATTGGAAATTTTTTGTTAATATTAAAGAAATATTGTCCATTCCAAGGGCCTAAAACAGGCCCAAGGTTCTAGGAAGCATGTTATTCAGAGAATGCCCAGGAAATAACTAACCTTCACCACAGCCCATGAAGCCCAGAAGGTACAAAAAGAGGCACTTTGACTTATCTTATCTCAACCCACAGTTCATATAAAAAAGTTTCCAGTTCTGGCTAAACTATGACTTCCCTCCCTTCCACTGGCAGTTACAAAGAGTGTGACTCCTGATAGCCCTTCACTCTGCACCCTTAGAGCTGTCCTCCTGGGTCTTAACATGTCCTTCACACAAGACTATAGTCTGATCTGCCTGGAGAGACCATTCTGACTTTTCCTTCATTCAATTCACTCTGCCAGCTTGATCCTCACAAATACTATATGGGGGACATGGAGAATGTCATGGGGAGGTTCCAAGCTGGAGCACTGCTTACTAGCCCTAGCCACCTGTGGTACATCCTGAGTCCAATCACTACCCGACAAAGCCCCAGAGACCTGGAAACAGCCTCCCTTACACCTGTGGAAAAAAAACCCTAACCACATCAGTGACTGTTGCAGTCTTGGCCCCGCCTGCACCTAGAGGAACAACCACAAGAGGCACAGCTGCACCTGCACCTGGAAGAGTGATCAGCACAAACAACTGCACCTGGATGAAGAGTAACCACCTAAGCCACAGGCTCCACCTGCATCAGTTGGAGGAAGAGATGGGTAGATGTCAGTGTAAGAATAAGTGCTCAAAATGCTTGGCCATCAGAGAAATGCAACTCAAAACAACTATGAGATACCATCTTACACCGGCCAGAATGGCTAAAATCAAACAAACCAATGACAATCTATGCTGGAGAGGATGTGGAGAAAAAGGAACACTCCTCCATTGCTGGTGGGAGTACAACCTTGTAAGACCACTTTGGAAATCAGTGTGGCGGTTGCTCAGAAAAATGGGAATCAGTCTACCTCAAGAACCAGCACTTCCTCCCTTGGGCATATACCCAAATAATGCATGTGCATACAACAAGGACACATGTTCAGCCATGTTCATAACAGCATTGTTTGTAATAGCCAGAACCTGGAAGCAACCTAGATGCCCCTCAAATGAAGACTGGATAGAGAGAATTTGGTACCTTTATACAATGAAGTACTACTCAGCAGAAAAAAAAGCAATGGAATCTTGAAATTCATAGGCAAATGGATGGAACTAGAAGAAACCATCCTGAGTAAGGCAATCCAGTCACAACAAGACAAACATGTTATGTACTCAGTCATATAAGAATTTTAGATGTAGAGCAAAGGATTACCAGCCAACAAATTCTGTTCACCAAAAACATAAAGCACAGTAAAGCATCATCAGAAACTATTGATTCTACAATAAGAAGACCTGAAGATCACAATGCAGATGAAGCAGAAGAAAACAACCTTAAAAATAACTTTATGAAGATGATAGCGGTCCTTGAAGAGGAAATGAGAAATTCCTTTAAAGAAGTGAAGGAAAAGATGGATTAAAAATTGGAAGATATAAATAAATCTTGCAAAGAAAGCAAAGAAAGCCAATAAAGAATTATCATAAAGGTGAAGACATGGTCCAAAATTGAAAACTGAAATACAGGCAATAAAGACAGCACAAACTGAGGGAACTCAGGAAATTGAAAATCTAGGTAAATGATCAGGAACTATACATGAAAGCATAATCAACAGAATACAAGAAATAAATGAAAGAGTCTCAGGCACTGAAGATATGATAGAGGAAATAGATTCATTTGTCAAAGAAAATTTAAGTCCAACAAATTCTTAAAAAATATCCAGGACACTGGGACACCATGAAAAGACCAAACCTAAGAATAATAGGGATAAAAGAAGGCTAAGATCTAGCTCAAAGGCATAGAAAATATATTCAACAAAATCATAAAATCATAGAAGAAAACTTTCCCAACCTAAATAAGAAGATGCCTATGAAATTACAAGAAGGCCAGGCATTGGTGGCGTACACCTTTAATCCAGCACTCGGGAGGCAGAGGCAGGTGGATCTCTGTGAGTTTGAGGTCAGCCTGGTCTCCAGAGTGAGTGCCAGGATAGGCTCCAAAGCTACACAGAGAAACCTTGTCTCAAAAAACCAAAGAAAGAAAGAAAGAAAGAAAGAAAGAAAGACAGGAAGAAAGAACGAAAGCACAAGAAGATTACAGAACACCAAATAGATTGCACCAAAAAAGGAGTCCTTTCACCACATAATAATCAAAAGACTAAACATTTAGGAAAGAATATTAAGAGCCACAGAGGAATAAGGCCAAGAAACATAAAAGGCAGAACTATCAGAATTACTCCCAACTTCTCAATGTAAATTCTGAAAGACAGAAAGTCCAAGGTAGACTTTCTGCAGACACAAAGAAACCACAGATGCCAACCCAGGCTAATATACCCAGCAAAGATTTTAACTACCATAGATGGAGAAAACAATAAACTACATGTTAAAACCAGATTTAAACAATATCTATCCACAAATATGACCTCACTACACTATTACAGGAAATCTCCAACCCAAGGAAGTTAACTAGATCTGTAGGAAAAAAAACCCACAGGTAATAGATACTCCCTTGCCAGCAGAATAATCTCCTGAAGAATAGAAACACGAACACAATATCACCACCAACAGCAAAACCAAAATAACAGGAAGTAACAATCACTGGCCATTGATATCTCTTAATATCAATGGTCTCAATTCACACAAAAAAGACACTCTAACAGAATGGATATGAAAACTGGATCCATCCTACTTCTGCATACAACTAGCTTGCCTCAACTTCAAAGACAGACATTACCTTAGAGAAAGGGGTTGGGAAAAGACTTTCCAAACAAATGGACCTAAAAAGCAAGCTGGTATAGCTATCCTAATATGGAAAAAATAGACTTTAAACTAAAATTAATCAAAAGAGATAAAGAAGGACATTTCATACTCATCACAAGAAAAATCCATCAAGATGAAGTCCCAGTTCTGAACACCTATGTCCCAAATACAAGGGCACCCACATTTGTAAAAGAAATATTACTAAAGCTTAAATCACAAATCAAAGCCCACAAACTCATAGTGGGAGACTTCCACACCACACCCTCATCAATGGACAGGAGAAATAAAGGAATTAACAGATATTATGACTCAATTGGGGTTAACAGACTTCTATAGAACATTTCACCCAAACACAAAAGAAAATACCTTCTTCTCATCACCTCATGACACTTTCTCTAAAATTGCCCACATGTTCAGTAACAAAGCAAATCTCAACAGACAGACAGACAGACAGACAGACAGACAGACAGAGAGACAGACAGACAGACAGACACACACACACACACACACACACACACACACACACACACACAAAGAAAAATTGGAATAATCCCTTGCATATTGTTGGATCACCATGGCTTAAGGTTAGCATTCAATAACAACACTAATTTTAGAAAGCCTACTAACTCATGGAAATTGAATAATGTTCACCTGAATCAACACCAGGTCAAGTAAGAAATAAAGAAATTACAGAATTCAATGAAAATGAATACACAAATACCCAAATGTATGGGACAATATGAAAGCAGTTCTAGCTTAGCTAAGTGGAAAGTTCATAACACTAAATGCCTACATAAAAAAAAAAAAGAAATCTCATACTGTTAACAGCACACATGAAAACTCTAAAACAAAAAGAAGCCACACCCATCAGGAGTAGACTACAGGAAATAATCAAATTGATAGCTGAAATCAATGAAATAGAAAAGAAGAAAAGAATAGAAAGCATCAATGAGACAAAGAGTTGATTCTTTGAGAAAAATCAAGAAGATAGACAAACTGTTATCTAAGCTAAAAAAAAGACAGAGAAAGAATACCCAAATTAACAAAACCAGAAATGAAAAGGGGGACATAACAACAGACACTGATGGAATCCAGAAATCATCAGGTCATATTTCAAAAACCTGCGCTTCACAAAACTAGAAAATCTAAAAGGAATGAACAATTCACCGGATATGGATGATATACCAAAATCAATAGCAAATTTAAACAATTTAACTAGACATATAACCACTAAGGAAATAGAAGCAGTCATCAAAAGTCTCTTAATCAAAAACAGCACAAGGTTTCAGCTTAGAATTATACCAGAATTACAAAGAAGAGCTAATATCCAAACTCCTCAAATTGTTCCACACAATAGAAACAGAGGAATTTACCAAACTCTTTTTATGTGGTTATAGTTACCCTGATACCCAAACAATACAAAGATATAACCAAGAAAGAGATTTAAAGACCAATCTCCATCATGAACATTTTTGCAAAAATACTCAATAAAATGCTGGCAAACTGAAGCCAAAAACACATCAGAAAAATCATACACCATGATCAAGTAGGCATTATCCCAGAGATGCAGGGAAGGTTCCACATATAAAAATCTGTCATTGTAATTCACCATATAAACAAACTGAAAGAAAAAACACATAAACATCTCATTAGCTGCTGAAAAAGCCTTCCACAAAATCCAGAATCCCTTCATGATAAACATCTTGGACAGATAGGGATAAGAGGGACATACCTAAACATAATCAAGGCAATATACAGCAAGCCAACAGCCAACACCTAACAAATAGAGAGAAACTCAAAACTATTCCAATAAAATCAGGAAGAAGACAAGTCTCTCCAATCTCTCCATATCTATTCAATATAGTACTCAAAGCTCTAGCTAGAGCAATAAGAAAACAAGAGGTCAAGAGGATACAAATTAGAAGGGAAGAAGTCAAACTTTTGCTATTTGTAGATGATATGATGGTATGCATAAGTGACATGAAAAATTCTACCAGGGAACTCCTACAGCTGACAGACACACAGTATTGTGGCAGTATACAAGATTACTTCTAAAAACGTCAGTGGCTCTCTTATATACAGATGAGAAAGAAATCAGAGAAACATTATCTTTCACAATAGCCACAAATACCATAAAACATCTTGGGGTAACTCTAACCAAACTAGAGAAAGGACTATATGACAAGAAATTTAAATCTCTGAAGAAAGAAATTGAAGAGGATATCAGAAAATGGAAAGATCTCCCATGATGTTGGATAGGTAGGATCAACACAGTAAAAATGGCAATCTTACGAAAAGCAATCTATAGGTTCAATTCAATCCCCATCAAAACCCCAGCACTATTCTCCACAGACTTTGAAAGGACAACATTCATTTCACATGGGAAAAAAATGGATAGCATGGGGGAAGGGGAAGGAAGTGAAGGAGAGGAGTGGGAGGAGAACATAAAGAAACTGGATGTTCAATTTGGATGAAGGTCAGAGTGTGACAGCAAAGAAAGAGATATCTTGACAGATTATGGGGTTAGCAAGAAACCTGGTACTAGGAAAATTCCCAGGAATCCACAAGGATGACCCCAGCTAAGCATCTAAGCAATAGTGGAGAGGGTGCATGAACTGGCTTTCCCCTGTAGTCAGATTGATGACTACCATATTTGTCATCATAGAACTTTCACCCAGTAACTGATGGAAGCAGATGCAGCTATCCATTAAAGAGAGGGAGAATTGACAATACAAGCAAAGAGGTCAAGACCATGATAGGAGAAACTCACAGAAACAGGTGACCAGAGCTAGTGGGAGCTCGCTGACTCTGGGGAATCTGACAACTGGAGAATCTGCAAAGGACAAACTAGGCCATCTGAATGTGGGTAGCTGTTTACAGTTCAACTGCCAATGGGAGCAGAATTTATCCCCACTGTATCACCTGGTTGTTGGAGCCCATTCTCTATGGAGAGATACTTTGCTTGCCTAGATCTAGTGTCTAGTGGGAAGGGCCTTAGTCCTGCTTCAGTGTGATGTGGCAGAATTTGTTCATTCCCCATGGGAGGCTTCACCCCCTCTGATTAGTAGATGAGGTTGAGGCATGGGAAAACTTTGGGGAAGCAGGAAGAGGGCATGGAGGGGGAACTGGGATTGGTATGTAAAATAAAAAAGATTGTTTTAAAAATAAAATAACAAAAGACCCAGGAGAGACAAAACAACCCTGTACAATGAAGGAACTTCTGGAGGCATCATCATCCCTGACTTCAAGCTATACTATAGAGCTATAGTCCTGAAAACAGCTTGGCATTGGCACAAAAATAGACAGATAGACCAATAGAATCCAAATGAAAACCCTGATATTAACTCACACACCTATGAACACCTGATTTTTGAAAAAGAAGCTAAAATTATACAATGGAAAAAAGAAAGCATCTTCAATAAATGGTGCTGGCATGACTGGATGGTGGTGTATAGAAGACTGCAGATAGATACATATGTATCTATCTGCATGCCCAAAACTTAAGTCCAAATGGATCAAAGTTCTCTACATAAATCCAACCTCACTAAACCTCTTAGAGGAGAAAGTAAGTGCTACCCTTGAACAGACTGGTACAGGAGACCGCTTCCTGAATATAACACCAGTAGCACAGACACTGAGATCCACAATAAATGGGACCTTCTGAAAGTGAGAAGCTTTTGTAAGGCAAAAGACACAAACAAGACAAAACGGCAGCCCACAGAATGGGAAAAGATATTCACCAACCCCACATCTGAGAAAGGGATGATTTCTAAAATATACAAAGAATTCTAGAAGGTTTTCACCAAAAAAACAAATAATCCTATTTAAAAGTAGGCTACAGAACTAAATATAGAATTCTCAACAGAGGAATCTAAAATGGCTGAAAGACACATAAGAAAGTGCTCAACATCCTTAGTCATCAGGGAAAGGCAAAGCAAAACAACTCTGAGATACCATCTTACTCCTGTCAGAATGTATAAAATCAAAAACATCAATGACAGTTTATGCTAGAGAGGATGTGGAGAAAGGGGAATATTCCTCTACTGCTGGTGGGAGTACAAACTCATACAGCCACTTTAGAAATCATTATGGAGGCTCCTCAGGAAAATGGCAATCAGTATACAATAAGATCTATTAATTCCACTCCTAGGCCCATACCCAAAAAATGTGCATTCATAAAACAAGGACAGCTGTTCAACCATGTTCATAACAGCATTATTTAAAATAGCCAGAACCTGGCAGTAAGCTAGATGCCCCTCAACTGAAGAATGGATGGAGAAAATGTGGTACATTTCCACAATGGAGTACTACTCAGCAGAAAAAAAAGCAATGGAATCTTGGAATTCACAGGCAAATGGTTAGAACTAGAGGAAACCATCCTGAGTGAGGTTACCCAGTCACAAAAAGACAAACAAGGTATTTACTCACTCATATATGGATTTTAGACGTAAGCAAAAGATCGCCAGCCTACAACCCATACCTCCAGAGAAGCTAGGAAACAAGGAAGACTGTAAGAGAGCCATACATGGTCTCCTGGAGAAGGGAAAAGGGACAAGATCTCCTGAGCAAATTGGGAGCTTGGGGGGGTGGGGTAGAAGGATTTGGGAAAATGAGAAGGGGAAAGGGTGATTGGGAAGGTGGACATGAGGAAGCAGGAGGATCGATTCAGGGGAAGAGTAAAGGACAGCAGGAAGAGAAATGCCATAATAGAGGGAGCCATCATAGGTTTAAAGAGAAATCTGGCACTGGGGAAATCTCCAGAGATCTTCGGGTTTGACCCCCAACTAACCATCTAAGCAACAGTCGAGAGACTACCTTGGATGCCCTTCTCCGATAATGAGATTGATGACTACTTTATGTGCTTTCCTAGAGCCTTTATCCAGTAATGATGAAAGCAAAAACAAGCACCCACAGCTAAACACTGAGCTGAACTCCCGGAATCCAGTTGCAGAGAGGGACTGGTGATTACCAGGGGGAGTTGAGACCAGGGGGGTCAAGACCAGGCTGGAGACACCCATGGAAGCAGCTGACCTGAACAAGGGGGAGCCCATGGACCCCGGAATGATGGCTGAGGAGCCAGCATGGGGCTGTTCCACACCCCGTGAATGTGAATGTTAGTTTGGAGGTCTTGTTAATCTATAGGGCCTGTAGTAATGTATCAGTGTTTGTCCCTGCTGCATGGGTGGACATTGGGAGCCCATCCCACATAGAGACCTGGACACATGGGGAAGGGTCTGGGCCCTGCTCCAAATGATATGGCAGATATTGAAGATCCCCATGGAAGGCCTCACCCTCCCTAGCATCTGAGGATGGATGGAATGGGGGGTCGCTGGGGAGCAGGGGAGGAGGGGATCCAGAGAGAGCTGGGATTGACATGTTAAAGTTTGTTTCTAATGTAAATATAAAGAAAACATTTAGAAAAATACTATATGATAGCCAAATCCATATGTTGTATGATTTACTGAGATAACAGTATCACTGTTTGTAATGCCCAGTGAATGTATTTCCTTCTTTCTTCACATAAATTCAGTTCTCAAAGCACAACAACAAAACTTAAAACCAATGCTTACGCTTTTCACAAAAATAAAAATGCACAAGCATTTGTCACAGCAGAGCATCATGAACAGCCACTCCACTATTGGAAGTTTCATTAGAAAACATAAACCATATCTAAAATTGAATGAAACCCTATTTAGTCACTAGAAAATTGATTTAAGATTTCTATGCATCCCTTATTTGTGCCTAACAATTCAGATCTAGATCAGATAGAACAGAATATATTAGTTATTGAATCTATATTTTTTCTGTCATACCAAATATGCTTTTAAAATAGTCAGTGAAATAAATTATCTAACATTTTCAAAATTATTAAACAAAAATTTTGAGTACCTTCGCCCAACAAATATCATTTGTATTAGGCCACTTGACAAAGACATCTTTCTGTATTCCTCTATCAAAGGCAGGGTAAGGCTTTGTTTCATTTCCTGAAATTGCTGGATCCTAAAATTAAAGCAAAACAATAAAATAAACTACATATGGAGCCAATTACAACTTGTCGGGTGGCCATTCAGAGACAGTGTAGCTTTCTCCTTTTGCACTATCTTTACCTTCTGCTCCCATTTGGAGAATTGACCAAGCATCAATGCCACAGCTATAGTCTAAGAAATTCTTGAAAGAATCTGTTGAGAACTCAAGCAAGCTTATTGAAGGCTTCTTGGTTTCATCTTTTGACCTAGTGATTTTCTAGTTGTCTAGATTGCTCGTTAAAATATATACATTCACAAACTATTCTTTCCAATAATTATTTTTATTCAACCCTTTGAAAGGCAAATTAATGTAATGAGAAAATATCAGAAGAAATTCAGAAGAACACCTGAAAATGACTTGGGGTCAAAAGTATCTATTCTCACCCTTCAAAATTGAAATCAGTTTGTGACTTGAGTGGTAGTTAGAGCACAGCTTGCCTTTGGTACCTGTCACTTGACTTACATCTTTATACATATACCTTAATGTAACACAGATGGTAATAGCCTGAGCAAATAAAATACAATGCAATGAGGAAAAATCAATAGGTGGGAAGAGTGCTTGAAACTAGATTATTTTTAGCTTAAAATTTGTATTTATTTGTGTGTGTGTGTGTGTGTGTGTGTGTGTGTGTGTGTGTGTGGACACACGCATGCACACCACATGTGCCAGCTGTGCTGTAGAGGCCAGAATAGAGTATTGGATTCCCCTAGAGTTTTAGGTCATTGTAAACTGCTCAACATGGGTGTTGGGATCAAAACTCAGGTATTCTTAAAAAGAGGTAATTCTCGTAACTATTGACGAATCTCCAAGCCCAATGTTACACTCTTCCTCATTTTGAAAAGCCTTTATACCTGCATTTTAAAAGAGTAAACATAAACAAATAATATAATATATGTATAAATCAATACTGACCAAGATAATAATATATTTCATTCCCTCGTTTCTGATTCGTTCAACAAACTGGGGAAGATCCTTGAATCGTTCACCAATTGTGAAGTCTAGTTGCCTTTCCATGTAATTAATGTCTGTGTACTGGACATCCTGAAATAGATAATAACGACAATTTGATAAGAGCTCTTTGGAGGTTATGCCTAGCTTCACCTGCATAGCAAAGTCTATTAAAGAAGGAAAAAGGGATAAAAAATGGAAAGTAGTCTAAAAACAATTTTATGTGGATGATTGAATATTTGATGAATGGTTAAACAATTATTTAATTTGAAAAGTAAATATTCTAAATCAGCAATAATGCAATATTCATTTCCATGGAAAACAGAGACAAAAGTTTTTTAGTGCCATGAAGCTAGAGTAATATGGTCAGTTAAAAACTGACATTTCAATGAATTGAAGTACTTTTGTTCTCATGTTAACCAAAAATCATGTAGGAATAAATTAAGATCATTTTACCAGTGACAAAAGGGGAAATTCTTACAATTCCAGCAGTTGTTATAAAAATTATCTTCTCAAATAAATCAAATTGATTTTTGAAATAGCTTGATGATGCATTGTTTACACTTAAATATTTGGAAATATATTTAAACCACCAAATTTAAATTTCACCATGGAAACATCAAATGAATCTCAAATAACTAATTTTCCAGCCATGTTCTCTTAATCAACATTGCCCTTAATTATTACAGTTTTTGGGAAAACTGTATCTGTCATACTAGGAAAACCTCAGCTTCAATATCAACTTGCATACTTCTATATTTTCAATGTATGTAAATTAATGACTCCAATGTAGAATCAATGTCAGTGTCAGATAGTGAAGTTCATGATGTAAAATGAGGACTTACACAGATGTTTTACATACTGCAATGTTTATGTATTGCTGGAAATCTTTCATATTGATAAAAATAAACTGATTTGGAAGCATTGTGGAAAGAACATACCCTGTAAATCCTGCCATTTAGCCCTATGTACTCCAATTATATATCTTAAGGCTCAAATCATGCAGCTGCTTGTCTAGTTCCTTCAAATTTGCTACATTAAGTGATACTATAGATTACTGAAGCATAATGGTAATATGCATGACTATGCAAGCCACAAGTTATGAGAGGGAAAAAGTGTGAAACAGTTTCCTTAGAATCATTCAGGATCTTACTAAAGTAGGAAAGCAGGCAAAAGTGTAATACTACAGCCCCTTACTTATGTATGTGACAGAGATATATAAAAATCCCACATCCAATTATTGAGGTGCTACAAAAACATGAGCATTATTTCCAAATATTTAATTTACTCCTAAAGAACACTATGTTTAAATACATCCTTCTGTCTTACAGGCTCCATTTTATTGTTATACGTACATAGGGGATCTTAGCAGCCACCATAGCTTCATATAGTTGCTCAATCTCTGAAGTATTTCTGTATCCATAACGACATAATTGAAATCCCAGCGACCAGTAAGCTGGCATGACTGGATAGCCAATTACCTTTAGAAATATTATTATAAGTGAGATAAAAGAAGTATTTTACATTACATGTAAACTTTATATTTTTTAAAATGAATATGTAATCATACTTCATGGTATTGCCTTGTTGCAACTTCTGGGGTTGGTCCCAAAAACATGTAAAAATCCAGGATTCCTCCAATTATGCGGTAAGTTAGAGCAGGAGTTGGCTGGAATGTAACATCTGAAAATCCAAAATAAGACTTAATTTTTACCTGCACATGAGATATAGATTTGTAATTGGCTCACATTTCCCCTTTTCATAGGAGAAATTTAACAAATAATAGCTTTACCCATTCCGTTGCTGTTCAGTAACAGAACTCCATGAGCATTGCCCTCATCTTCCAAAGCCATATAATAGGGATGGAATCCATAGGAATTGAGTTTATACTGAAACATATAAAAACATAATGTATATTTAGAAAAAAAAAGTATAAACTAGACCAATGTTGTTTAAATTCATGTAGATTTTGTTTTGAAATTAACATATTCCTGGTTAGCTAGTCATAGTACTTGAAAAAAATAAATATACTTCTTCTAAAAATATTACTTCTTAGCTGGGTGGTGGTGGCACACACCTTTAATCCCACCATGAGGGAGAGGGAGAGGCAGAGGCAGAGGCAGAGGCAGAGGAAGAGGAAGAGGAAGAGGAAGAGGAAGAGGAAGAGGCAGAGGAATTTTTGTGAGCTCAAGGCCAGCCTGGTTTACAAAGCTACACAGAGAAACCCTGTCTCAAAAAAATAAAATATATAAAATATTACATCTTTTTTACTAATACTTTCATAGAGCATGAAAATGAATATGAGAAGATGTGATATCCAGAAATTATGCAACAATAACTGACAGCTACCCTGATGCTAGAATGGTTGTTTCTTTCAAGAAGTTAGGTTTCTGATTTTATCTGTAAACTATCATTTTTCCCAAAATTAAGCATCCTGGAAATAATCATAATGATGTAAATAATCAACCTGCCAAGAAGAAACAGTTTATAAAGATACTCATAACATGTAATTTGGGCTTCCAAACTTGAATTTTAGTAAACTATTAGAATGTGAAGTCAAGATAAGAATAATCAAATAATCATTATATTAATATTGAGGAGTTCTTTGGAAATAATTTTGATATATTCTTCATTTTATTCACAATGATACAATTTCAGCATGGTAAAGATAGCAATTAGCTGTTCACATCACCACAAAAATGAACTTATCAAAAATGAACAAGCAATTATCAACTTATTTTTTCCGAAATGTATATCTTTCAAGTAGCAATTACAAATAAAACTGAAGGTGAGCTAGGTCTTGAAACTTATTTATTTATGATAAACTTGGAAAGATAACAATTAATATTACTCATTGTTCAATGAATTATTAAAGAAATGTATTCTACTTCAAAACAGAACTGAGAAGTATCAAACTCATGCAAATATTTGCTAAGAATATGAGCAATAGTTTAACCAAAGAAAATGTACAATTTTAACTGTGGTATATAGAGGGACAGTATCAAATCACCATTTGATGTATATCATAAATAGTGAAATATAAAAACTGTGGCAGTTATTTCCAAGAATACTGAATAAGTATCTTTTGTTTTATGTGACTGGAAAGGTTGAGAAATTAGTTAGCTTTCATGCATGCTGGAAGGTGTTCTTCAGGTTTCTGGGAGTAGAAAAGATATCAGTGACTTTGTCCACTGTTAGAATCTGCATAGTATCATATTGACTCACACAGCAAGATTCACACATTGTTCAATAGAGGCTAGATAATATATGGAAGTGACCACCTGATGTCTTGATTGGACTTGAAATATACCCACAGGATGATTTCAGGCCTAATATTATAAACATCATCAAAAACCGTGGCCAGGAAAGTCTTAAGTTGTAGCAGAGAGCCTTCTGATGTTGCTTTTCTAAATGGGCATGATGTCAATTGTTTTTCAAATTCACTTTTATATCCCTAGATTTGAGTTGCTACCAGTCTGGCGCCTAGAAATTTATCATAGTGGGTAGTTGTGCTTAATGTACAAATGTTTCACAGTTTGAAATGGTTACAATAAGCAAGTAACTACTCAGTCATGAATATGACATCAATATCTCTAAATCAGCTTTGAAGGTTCAGATCACATTTTGGAAGACCAGGCACAAGAGCTAGAAATAGAGAAGAGTTCTGTGAAATGCTGTCCTGTCGACATAACATGCATGGCTGCTGCACACATAAACTCCCAGCTGCTGCATTTGTTTGCAGAGGATCTGTATATGGATTAAGGGAGGACAGCCAGCAACCCCCACCCTCAGCTGAGGGATAGTGTCCATTAATGAGTGCCAGGAAGAGAGAAGCACTCCTCTCAAAGGCCACTGATGGCTTCCCCCTGCTCCACTACATGTTCCAATGTCCATGTGTATATGGAGGTGGCACTAACTGGACTCTGGCTTCAAAAAATACATAGATTTAGAATAACTACATTTCCAAATATAAAAAAAACAAAAGCTTGAAGTAAAATTTTAAAAAATTGTTCAATATGCCTTTTTAAAATACACAACAAACTGCAATTTCTCTACTTTTTTTTCAGTGATTTCTGACAATATTGTTTATGTTTTCAGAAAATCACTGTATCAACTCTGCAAATCTCTGGCACCCTTTACATTGTTTCAATCTTGAGCAATTACCCTACAAAGAAGTGGCCTGGATCCCCATCACTGTCTTAGCTGCCTCATTAGGGAGTCACATAAGGATACCTACACCAGGAGGTTGATCTCTTGTGAACATTCCCCAAGTATGCCAGTTCAAATCTCTCTTGAATGCTGTGTGTTCTGCTTCCCCAAAACCATATAAATATTGTGATGGCAGACGGCTAGATATCTGAATGAATTGGTCATTGAATGCAAATCCAGGAAGGCGAGAATCCCAGCTGAAAATAAAAAGAAACAAGGCTATCACTGTAAATATGTGTAAAATAACAAAGTAATAGCTATAATTATTTTTGTTGTCTTGAAAGCAAATCAATGCTTTTTCTATATGCAAACACAAAATCACATTGCAAATAATAATGTTAATTCTTCATTTGTGATCTTCATTGTGATCATTATGAGAAAAGTGTGTTTATCATACCCCTAATTACATACAGGTATCAAATGGATATACATAATTACTGTAAAATAGTTTTTCTTTTGACAAAGTTAATGACCTAACAAATAAACTGCATTTTATGTACCATTGTGTGAAATATATGATGAGAATATAATTATATGCATTCATCATTAGTTCAGTATTGTCTTAAAATGTTAAAATTGGGAAAATATTTACTACAACTCAAACTGTTAGTGTATTGCTCTTTTAAACTAAAACTTTTCTACTTTGTATCAAATAATTTAATCACTTACATAAGCCGTCCACTACTTCTCCTTCGAACCTGGATGCCAAAAGGGTTTTCCTTGATTTCAACATCATAGAGCCTATTTTCATAAGAGCTTGTAGGGGTCTCTGGAATGTTTAATGGTACTGGAACTTCATATCTCTTATGATCGGCATCATAAATCTATTGCAGAGAAACAGTAACAACACGGGAATATTCATTCTTATTGCTGACAGAGCACATGTTTTAAATAATATCTCCAAAAGTATCATATAGAATTTTCATCTGATTCTGCATATGTACCTTATATACAGCATTGCATATGCAGAAACTGATGAGGTCAAGTAAAATATTAAATTAACATGTATCTACTAAGAAAGTTTATATGAAACTTACCTTAAACTGTAGCATGTCATTTTTGTGATATTTTACTTCCACACGGAGATTGGAGATGGGATTAGAAGGAAGGCGTATTCTAGCTCCTGCAGTATTCAATTGGAGTTCAGCTGTTATACCCGTTGGTGAAAATTGAGTTGAAGTTAACAAATAGGGATTGTGATCTTTAGGAAAGTAGCATTCAGGTGCACCGGATAGCCCACTAACCTAAAGGAGGTACATAATCAACACCACAAAGTGTAAGCATTGCAACCTTCAACTTAAAAACTAAACCAAAAATGGAAGTTCTCACACTAGCATAGTAACAATTTGTGTGACTCATAATTTAAAAAATCTATTATTCATGAGATATGCTCTAAATTATTACATTACATATTTACATATCGATTCTAATGTGAGAATAGTAGAGATAAGCAATTATTTGCTTTTCAATGCAAAATAATATAAATTGTGTTCTATTACAAAAATTTCCATAATTTTGCCTGTATTTAACTTTATGCTTTATAATGCTGCTATTTTTTCTTCCTGAAAATGACTGTAAAATACAAAGTTGTAGTTTCTTCTCTTCCACATATTTTGATAATAATACAGTATCTTTAATGACTAGTTTTGAAAGTTGCAGGTAGCATCCCTACCAAGATTAAAAACAGGAACTCTGAACAGAGATATTTTGTGTCTGCTCTTTGACACAGTAGAAGACAGCACCCAAAGGCAAATTGATAATTAAGGTGTTGAGCATTAAATAGCCTAAGACAGACTTTTCTCACAATCTTCCATAGTCATTGATTATAGTTTCTGAAAAGCAATACATGTCTCCATATTTCAGTCTATTTTTTCTGAAATTGTATAAACCACCCTATTCTCCTTAAAAGAACAGGATACAGACTAATTACATAAAGATGGTCTTTTCCTCCCATCTTCCTCATATTGGTTAGCTTGTAAATATAATGTTAATACCTCTGATAAACTTTGAAGACAAAACTATGTGGAAGAATCTGACACACTAATTACATTAAAACGCTGGTGAATGAAGCCCAAGTTTCTGTTCACAAGAAAAAAATGAACTCTGTTTTGCTTTATGTACTCAGATTTTAAGTATTTAAAATATCATTTTAAAGCAATGTTAAACTATGAATATTGTGGCTATCATTTGAAATGCAGTTTACACAATGGTCACCTTTAGACAGTTTCAGTCTATAACTCTATGAAAGCAATTTTCCTAAATTTCATCACAGCTCTCTTATTCATAGTCCCGATCAGAACTGGTAATTTTTAGAGTATGTATACTTTAAAGTTAGTAACTAAGGAAGGGTTGGATAGATGGCTAACTAGTTAAGAGTACCAACTTCTCTTCGGAACACATGAGTTTGATTCTCAATACCAACGAGGTGACTCACAAATTTTTGAAATTCCAATCCTATGCCATTGGACATGCAATTTTGACCTTCACATGCACTGAACATATGTGGTTCACATATACATAGACACATGTAACATGCCACTCAATATAAAATTAGTAAAAATATACAAAAATAATTGATAATATAGTCTAAATATCTAAGTAACTATATGATAAGTACTCAACAGAAAAATAAATAAACAATTTGTGTTTTCCAAAAAATTTATAACTGCCTAAATTTAAAATATATGATTAAAAAAGGCTTATTTATTTTAACATAGCTCTGTCAGTGTGGCAATAAATCTGTTTATTAGAGAATTAAGTAAGTTGCTGTGACTTTAGTGTTGTAGCTCTGACTAATTTAGATATGAGGTTTTCAGCTGGAATCAGACCAATTAGGACATTTAGAGCTCAAGAAAATTGTTGTCAGATTAAGAAGAAACATGTTAATAAAAAAAAAAGACAGTTAGTAACTTGTAACAATTCTGAAGTTAATGGGAGCCATGGCAAGTGGTCTTTGGTATTAATTTATCCTGAATCTTTGGTTTAAATTTTAAAGCAGTTACAGTACCAAAGATAAATAAGAGAAATTGTTTCTCACATATAGGTAACATCTAAACAAGAAATATGAAGAAGTGTTGAAATGCACTTCCACAGAGCCTTTCTTATAACATGTCAGCATATTTGAAGTATTCACATTCATGTCATGGCATGAGATGACCAAGGGAGTGAATATGAACTGAAAAGGGAAGATCAGTTCAAAAAGTGAACTCTGAATCCTCATGGTACTCCACTGGGAAAATAAAAAATAAGTAGCAACAGTATTAATTTAAAATTTTTGTTGGTCCTTGGAGGTGAAGTGAAAAGTTCATCTTTTCTCTTTTTTTCATTTTCCTTTTTAAATTTCCTTTCAAAATTTAAATTAGAAACCAGTTTGTTTACAAACCTCTCTCCCTTCCCTCCTCCCCTGTCTCCTTTAAGAGGTTTAAATGCATATTGCTACTTTACAGATGGATATGAACTTCTATTAGGAATATTAACCTCAATGTATCCTAGCCAGCTCCTCAACCACAAAGACTTTTCAGTCTTTGCTAATGCACTTCTTTTCTCCCAATTGTTCAAACCAATGTGTAACATAAAAAGTAACAGACCCAGAGACTGATAATGGGGTTCCTTTGAGCTTCAAGCTCAAGGTCAGAAAAGCAAAGCAGTCAGCCACTAGCTCTTACGTCTACCTCAGCTCAGACAAAATGGGTAAACCTCAGATGATTCCCAACTTCACCGCCCCTCAGATTTACTCAGACAGCTAAGCTCTCCTCAACATGGCTAGAGACTAACTCTCAGACTGAAAGCCTCTAGTTTTATACCTCTCAAATTCTGGGATTTAAGGCATGAGCTCTGAATCACTCTCCAGTAGCCCAGGGTGGTCTTGGACTTAGAGATCTGTCTACCTCTTAATCCTGAGTCCTGGCATTAAAAGTGTGTGTGTGTGGCTTTTATGGCTAGCTAGTATGGCTGCTTTGCTATTTTGATTTCAATGGCTTTAACAAATCGTAAACAATACTTGTAGTATTGAACCAATGACTTGAAGTCAAGAGTTACTCTTCTCTTTTTTACACATTCAATGAGAAACAAAATTTCTCTGCTTTTTGTTAAATATATGTAAGATTAATCATAGATTAACTCAAATAGTACCACACCAAACTAATTCACTGGCTAATTCAGTTTCTTCAACCAAACTAATTCACTGGCTAATTCAGTTTCTTCAACACAATAACAATAATGGCTGCATTAAAATCGAAGTTCATATTTGGCATTTGTATATCTTAACAACCACCTCCCTCAGGCTAAGACTCATTATCCTTAATGGTACTTAAGGACTACCTGATTGATCTAAATTGTTTGTTTTCATGTTTCTATAACACAATTTATCAATCTTATTCCACCACTAATTCTGTTTCAGATGTACTTTCCTTTTTGATATTTGTGAAACGTGGTTGATGAATAACCACTCCTTTCATGCTACTAGTTGGTATTTCTTTCTAAAGTATTACTAGCTCTGTGGAAGTGCATTTCAACACTTCTTCATGTTTCTTGTTTAGAAGATACCTATGTTTGAGAAACAATTTCTCATACTTACCTTGTATTGTAACAGCTTTAAAAAATTAAACCTAAGTTTCAAGATAAATTAATACCACTTGCCAAGGCTCCCATTCACTTCAGAATTGTTACAAGTAACTAATTGTCTTTTTTTTATTAACATGTTCCTAATTAATCCTGAGGCTAAATACTATGGAGTTTTTTAACCAGAAAGGAGAGGGAGCATTTGTCTGTAAGCAGAAATTATGACTTATTTCACCCAAGTAGAAACTCTGAAAAGTTGATGGATAGTATGCAGTAGCTTTAGTTCTATGATACAAAAATTTAATTACCTGGTTTTATGGATTAAATGCTGCCTGCCCTCAACACTCAGAGACATAAGAAAGGGCCAAGAACTGAATAACAAGCATAGCAAGTGAGAATGTTTCACATCCATTCCTCTGCCCTGTAGCACTGATAAAAATGCCTGCTATACACAGCTGTCATTCTTCTTCCCAAAGAGTGACCAAAAAAATCTAGTGCATCTCTTAGTGTTATGTATCCAAGTTTTTATAAGTAGAAAACTCATTTTTTTTAAAATACTTGTTAGTTCCAAAGCTACACAGAGAAACCCTGTCTCGAAAAACCAAAAAAAAAAAAAAAAAAAAAAAAAAAAAAAAAAAAAGAATACTTGTTAGTACTGAAAAAAATACCTTGACAATTTTTCCAGGCACCTATAGTCAATGTATAGTATAAGTACAACAAAATACTATTTTGTAAGGGAAACTTTTATCATCTATTTGCATGAAAAGTGATCTATCTGTCATTTGCCAAGCTATGTCTTTAAAGAATGGATTTATCTAAAGTTTGATTGTCTACTAAATGTTTAAATTTCAAATGACAAATGATTCATAAATGTATGTAATTTATATATTGCTGAATTTAAAGTGCATGTGCAAACTTCCCACGGATATATGAAAACCACATATTTATTCACAAGAAAACTGATAATACCTCTTTCCAAATGCAGCCTCGCTGTACACATAAGTTCTCAGTTGCCATGCCTGCATCTGGATAACAACCAAATCGCTCATTGTCTGAGAAAATTTGATTCCATCTAACTATAAAGCTTTTTCCAAGATTAAAGTTGAGATCTGTAATTGAGAGAACCTATGGGAAAAAATAAATGGTTAATTCTTTAACATGATGTCCAAATTTTAAAGTAGGACAAAGTACAACAAACCAAGTAATTTTTCAGACATATTTTTTTGAAGAACAGAAATGTGAGGGGGGAGGCACGTGACTTGAATATTTAGAACTTCAAGGGGAATATCAGGGCACATAAAAAACAAATCAGACATTTTAAAGTGACCAACTTACGTTATTGGAAGCATCAAACGTGAAAGCAAGATGATCCGCCATTTGTTGATCATTTTCTCCTGTTCTAACTTCTGTTACAGTGTCTGTCAGCCCAAGGATTTTGATTGTTTTAAAAGCAAGGGCAGTTCCTTCTGAATATGACGAATGTGTGCAATTAACAACCAAGATATTCTGAGGAAAAATGGTACATAAAGTTAGCTGTTAAGTCCTCTGATATTAGCTAGACTGGTAGATAGAATATGGGAAAAGAAAACAGTTGAGTCATCCACCACTCCATCCTACCAGTTAGCACTGTGCTTATAACTCGTTTTGTTTGTATATGCCATAAAACTTTATTTTTAGAATTAATGATGAAATCATATATGAGGTTACTCATACATAAAACCTCTTATTCTAGCCCCTGTATGGATAAGAGATAACTCAGAATTTTTAGAAAGAAGAAAGAAATATAACTCCTGTGAAAAAACTCAGTAGCTATTTAAAAAATTAAATGTGCATGTATTTTTCATTCTTATTGCCAAATGAAGATAAATTATAATTGACATACTAAAACATATTCATATATAGAACTATCCACCAAGTTGTGCACATATTTTTATCCTTATTGTCAAATGAACATGAATTATCACTGTGATTGACAAATTAAATCATATTGAATATATTGAAATTATTTTCCATGTGAAGTTAAAAAATAATTTAAAAAGTACAATTGATGCAATGTGTAATGTCACTATAAATTCAATCTAATGCAGTTAATAAAAGGTTTTGTTTGTTCATAATGTACTAATTTAAATTTAACAACTAATTTAACAATTTATTTTACTGAAAACTGGAGAAAAAATTTAGGCACTTTCCAGAAGCAGCGTATAATAAATTATAAACTAGACACTAAAACATACATATATTTTCCAAAAAATTCTTACATTGGAAACTGAAAAGGTGTAAAATATGTAGCTTCCATTTTCTATGGTTCCTGAAATAGAAAAATAAATAGTTATTAGATCAAAATGAATTAAATTTTATTTTCTTATTTTATATTTATATAATACTTAGATATTTTGAAATTATACTAATGAAATGCTGTAAACAATTTTACTTTTACATTTCTAGTAGCTGGACTTGGAGATTAATTCTTGTACTAGGAAGTAAAAAGGGTAGGAAGTTTAGAAGAAAAGTGATTAGGCAGCTCCAAGGAGAGTTGAAGGGAAGCAATGTGTGATGAATACAATTCAAGTCTCAAGTTTGTGGGCGAGTGTTCCTGAGGTGTCAACCCCACACAAAGAACGACAGGCAACAAAAGACTGATGAGACTGAGAGAAAGTCTTCCCAATGGAAGAGACGCCATTGGTTATCCTGCATAAATTGGTCAGTCCTGAAAAAGTATATGATCAAATAAGTGATACATAATGAGTAGAAGATATGTACACATACACATATAAGCATGTATGTATGCATGTATGTATATATGTACATATGAATGCATGAATACACCAAAAACAGTGATGAAAAGAGGCCATGAATTTGAAAGGTAGCAGGAAGGAATATATGGAAAGGATTTGAGATAGAAAAAAAAAGGAGAAATGTTGCAATTATGATAAGTTATAATATCAATGTTTTAAATTAAAACTAATATACACAGGCATGTATTTTTCAAATACTAAATAAGATATTATTTTCTTATTTCATTTACTTGTTTCAAAAGATATTAAATATATTATTTGATTTAGTTTAGTCATGAGTAGTAAAATAGTCTAGAAATTCAGAAGAAAACAAAAGTTATTATAGTCAGAAGTAGTAGCCAGTTTTGGAGAGGCAGAGGTAGAGACAGGAGAGTGAGACTGTTACCCATCCTGGGATATATGGGAGTCTGTCTCCACTAATAAAGCAACAGCAAAGATTATTGAGGATGATATGTTGCTTAAATTACTATTTAAAGTGATATTTACATCTTAAGTTCTAGCTATGAAATAATGTGTTTTTTCTATGAAACATGTTATAGCACAATTCTATTTCACATCTCTATATTTACTATTTTTCATTATTTTGGAAAATGAATGAATGAAGAGAGATACTAAATCAGATTTAACTTGTAAATGAACTAGCCGTTAATGAGTGAAATGTAATAAAATAATGATATCTGTATCATACATGAGCTAAAGAATACTAAGTCACTGTTCAAAGGAAACTGAAGATTAAGCTAGTCAAATTTGAAGGAAATCAAAGATAAAATTTAATGACATTTGAAAAGTAATGAGTTCAAATGGAAACTATATGATATTTGCAGACACAAATAAAACTATTATTAAATAAATTAAAATAATTTCAGTAAAACTTTTAATGGTAAATTAATTACTTTAAAGGATTAATTAATTTAAAGGATTAATTAAACCTAAAAGCATAAAATTAATAGGCATGACTTACATAGTATAATAAAATCACTCATGTTTTTATTAATTATTTAGTATATTTCTGATTGTATTGAATTCTCAAACTATAAACTAGAGGATTCTGAATAATGGAAAGGAATATTTTACCTTAAATAATTTGACACTGACATCAATTAACTACATCTGAAATTATTGGTTTTGTTTTTTGTTTTCATTAATAAAATGTTATGGTAAAGATTACAATGAATTACCCAAAATATTTGGAAACACAATGCAATTCCTACCCTGAAAATTAGACAAATTGTATCACATTAAAAGAATTAATGTAAGATAAAAATTACATACATTTGTCAAAAAGGTTCTAAAACATACCAATTCACAAAGTTGATATGTTAATCACATATACAATCAAATAGTGATGTAAATTTCATATATGCCACCTGTATGAATGAAGCTGTTGAATAGAAGATGTTGAGACTCACCGTTAGTTTCACCATCATCCCAGAAGAAGTCTCCTTTTGCTGTCTGATTTTCATCTAATGCAACAATAAGACCTAGAGGATTCTTACGGCTACAGTGTAAAAAAAAAGGTTTGTGTAGAATTCAAAACAATTTTGTAATCAAATTATAACTTATAACAAATACTATTCCATGTAAGAATTTTTAGTAGTGTATTAACATAAAAAGACATATATATGTTTATATATATGCATATATATATTCCATTCATGATTTTCAATATACTGTTTGGAAATATACTGTTATGAGTAAAAACATAATTCATATACATGTAAACAAACAAAAACATAACATATAATTATGATGATATTTAATTGTTGAAGGATATGACATGTGCAATATTTAAAACAATGGAACATTCCAGTTAAAACTGAAAAATTAGATGTGTTTGAAGAATGTTCAATTTACTGTGCTGGAGAAATTGTTCAGTTTTAACAAGACTCTTGCTACATGAGGACTTCTGTTTGGTCACCAGTGTCACCATTTAGTGGAGGCACAACTGTCTGTAACTTTGTTAACATAAATACTACAACCCCTTTGGGTCTCTCTATGCACTGCACACATTGTGTACATATAGACAAGCAAGCTTGTATACATACAAATAAATTTTAAAAGTAAATAAGAATGTTCATTTCAACTAATATAACCTTAAGTTGAAATGCATTAATTACCCTACTGACAAGAAAATATGGCAGTCATGGCTAATTTTATGTCAACTTGACACAGGCTAGAGTCATCTGAGAGGAGGGAGCCTCAACTGAGAAAATGCCTCGATATTATTCAGCTGTAGGCAAGCCTGTGAAGCATTTTGTTAATTAGTTATTTATATAGGAAAGCGCAGCCCGTTGTATATTGTACCATCACTGGTCTGGTGGTCCTAGATTTTATAAGAATAAACCGTGGAGAGTGACCCAGTAAACAGCTCTGCTCCATGGCATATGCATTAGCTCCTGCCTCCAGGATCCATCCCTGTTTGAGTTCCTGTCCTAATTTTCTGCAGCGATGGACTACAATATGGAAGTGTAAAACAAACAAACAAAAACAAAACAAAACAGAACAACCAAAAAACAAAATAAATAAATTAATTAATTAAAAAAACATAAAACAAAAACCCTTTTCTCTCCTGGTTCTTTTTGGTCATTGTGTTTCATTATAGCAATTGTAACCCTAACTAAAATTTTGGTAAATTTAAATGTTAAAAAGACATATAGTAATTTCCAAAGTGAAGTTAGTTGGGATGGGAATGAATCATGAGGTCAATTGCATATCTTCTTCTTGCTGTATCACCAGAACATAACACTTCCTAGGCTATAGGGTCCTAGTCACTGTTCAACACAGAGTATGTAACAACACTAGACAAAGTTTTATTCTGTTGTTCAGGAAGATCTGGAAGGTGATTGATGCTTGAGAACCTTTTCCTGAAACAGTTGTAAAAATAATCATTACCGTAAAACCAAACTATGAAACTGCTAATATATACTCATGTACTTGTATTTCCTCAAAAAAACATAGTTGCAGAAAATAGAAATCAGGCACTGTTATACATGGGTTATAAATTTGTGAAAATTTGAGTTCCTACATACATGAAGTTTGTAGTCTATGATACCAGACACACTGCATACAACAAGTAAATCATTGTAAGACTACATGATTATGCCATGGTCCTTCATTTTACCTCGCTGTTGTTGTTACATCAGGTTCCTGGGTTGGGATGATATAGCCTCCTCTAAGATGCAAACCTATCTTATCTGCTGGAAGGTACATGTTAACCCTTTGCTTTCTCCATGGCTTTTTTTCACCCTATAGTTAGAGAATAAATATTATTTTTACTGTTAATTCATATTTTAAATCCTGCTTCATAATGATTATAATTTATACATTTTATTCTTGTAATCAAATATTTATTTATTATTATGGGGAGAAAGCAATTTTCATTCAGCTTTGTATGCATAAGAAAATAATTGCATTTTAATCTAAAATATAAAATAGGGTAGAGAGAAATATTTCCTCTCTACAATTATTAACTATTATAACCAAATTTTCTACACTCTTTTTAAGTTATCATGCTTTTAGTCATTATGATTCTTCATTCAAATGGACATCTATATTTTAGAAAGAATATGTGGTATTTGTCTTCAATGTGGCTTTTTTATCCAATAGAACACTTCTAGTTCCACCCATTGTTCTCCAGAAGACAAGATTGCACTATTTTAATGTGAGAATAGTAATATATTGTATGTAAACCACATTTGCTTTGCACATTCTTCAACTAGAGAGCATGCAGCTTGATTTGATATATTATTATCAGAACAGTGCAACCCTAAATATAAGATATTATCATTTTGAAACATCCTTGCCACTTCTGTCTATATATTCCAAAGAAACATAATTTTATAGTAAAACAAATATGTCAGTAGATTTTGGAGGAACTTCTGTGCTATTTTACAGAAGGGAAATAGAAGGAAATTTTGTAAGAGATGCCAAAACACAATTTGGCTAAGAATGTAATAAATGAATACCATTTTTCTATACCAGAGTAGTGTAACTATCATCCAAAAGGAGCAAGAGAATTACAAATTTCACATTTTATAGCAGTAACGGTTATTAGTAGGCAGAGTTCAAGTACAGTGCAGAATAGGCAATGATAAAAGGAGTGCAAATGGTAATTACATTGATTTGATCAGTACTGAATGGACAAACCAAATGAAACATTACACTGAACTCATATATATGTGCATTTTTCATGTTTCCAACAAAGCGTCATGTAACTTGTTTGGGATGCAAGTATTCACTTATTTGTTCAATACACATTTCATACTTGCATTAAGTTATCAGGTTACTCGATAATATGTAATTAAAATAATAAAGGAGTAAGTAGCAGGAAAATGATACACATAAAATAAAGTTTGCTTACCTTTAGAAAGTCTTTTCGTACATTTTTTCAACTAAAGGTCTTGCTCAGTCAAACAAATTTGTAAAATACATTCACTTCAAAAATACGTATTTCTGAATATAAAGCTGTCTTAAGAACCCCCACTTCCAAAAAGTGAATTAAAAAAATTTAACCATGAATTTCTGAATGTATTATTTTGGCTTTTCTAGTTGGCCACGAAAAATATTTATAATGATTCAATTTGTTACTTAAAATCATATAAGTCTATCTCAATTCTTCTGGCAAATAGGCAATATAAACCAGGAGAAAAGAATTAAATATGCCTGCATTCCTTTCTAAGATACTCCTTTAATTCCATTTAAATACAAAAATATATTTGTTTGATAAAAATATGACTTCATATTAAGAACCTGGCTCATATGTAATGGAGAGTAATTTTTTACACCACTTTTTACACAGAATTCCAGTTAATAAACATTTCCTATAATACTCTTATAACTCCCAAACATAGATGCAGATACACTGTGTGTGGAAACATGCTTGTGTGACGTACATGTATTTAGGATACTTACTGTTTCATAATCATACCAGGTAGCATCAGGAATGTATGCACTCACATATTCTGTTCCCTAAGTTTAAGAAAATCAGTGTAAATATAACAAAGGATAGTAAATATACACGAGATATTGTGCACATTTTTGAAACTCCAGTTCTTAAAATAGAATCGTCTCAAGGGAGACATAAAAGGGAGAGAGGATCGTCTCAAATCATCTTATTTTAGATTCTCCCTTTTCAAGGGAAAAATACTTAACTGTTCTTACACTCCAGTAGTTCTGAATTGTTTGCTTTTCAACATAATGTAAATTATGCATTGTAGTGGCAAAGGGGATACTATTTAGGTGACAATTATAATTCATATATGCACTTGTGTTGTTATAATACACATGATTATTATGATTTAAAACATTCATTCATTACACAGACACCAGAATTTAGGCATAGAAGACACATATATCCTACTCCATTTTTTGCTTTGCATATTCTTAAGGTCAGTTGTTTTACATGGCCATTTTGCTCATATCTTAGCAAACCTTCAATGTTTATATCTCCCTAATTGTAAGCTAATTAATGCTATTGTAAGTGTTTAGATAATGCAATAAATATAAACCTTTCAATCTAATACTGATTATACACACCCCCTTGCTAATGTGTTTATTATATTTTATAATCTAGAGGTATCAAATAACTCTGTAAGCATCAAAAGTTTTTGGCATTTTAAATTCCAGTAAGAGATTGTGAACTTCAAACTGTTCATTGAGAAATAATGTTATCCAGGTGCATCTTAACTATGAACAGATTTTGCTATGAAAAATTGTCTTTAAATGATAAATATAATAAATTTATAAAGCCCACCTGTTTCAAAACAGGAGTAATAAGTAGTGCAGGGCCCCAGAGAAATTGGGTGTCCTCAATCCAGCTATTAGGGTCTTCATAAAATCTAAGAACAATGATAAAATATAAGATATTATAAAACAAGCAAAGCTAAATTGCTCATTTTCTTTATCTTTTGAGTTCTCTGAGAATTACTATTTTAAATTTATTTGTTTAATATGACACTATTATTTAAACAATAATTCTAATGTAGTTCCTACAGAATTCAGGAAGGAAGAAAGGCAAAGAGAAAGGAGAGGGAGTAAAAGGGAGAGAGGATTATAGGCATAAGTTAATACCATAGTCAAAACTCCCAGAAGTCTGCCACAGATACATGGCTACTTTTAAAGTCTAATAAGCAAATTTCTCTTTATAATTTTCTTGTAAGGCAGGTTAATAAATTTATAGAATATATCAGTTGAATTTCAATATTTTTCACCAAAACATCTAAAATGCATTTATAGGGAACATTGGGTCAGTCCCTAAGAAACATCCTGTTTATTTATAACAAATAAGCATATAGACAATGTACATTTTTGTAACTATGCCACACTATTGATCTACATTTAGGTGACTTTACAATACGTAATTGTTACATTTTCAGTAATTTTAGGTTACATCTTTCAGATATTCATGATATATTTTAAATGTAGTTTCCTTTATAAGTTCTGCTAATTTCTTATTTGCAGCTTAATCTTGTATACCCAGAAGATTAATCACAACATTGCATATATCAGAAATCTTTCTATACAATCAGAAATAATAATAACCATAGATCCACTTTTCATCTTGACTTATTTCTATTATTGTTTTATTATGTGTTTGAATATACAGTTTTCCTATGATTTCTGTGTGTTTATGTGTGTGTTACGATGTGTGTATTATGTGATAAATGTGTGTATTATGTGTGTGTGGTAGTATTATAAATGTACATGTATGTAGTCTATTGCATGCATGTGGATGCTTATGTGTTGTGTGTGTTTGTCTGTATCATAATGTGTGTATGTGGTGTGTGTGTAATAATGTGAATATGTGTGGTGTGTGGGTATATGGTTATGTGTGTAATGTATGTGTGGTGCATGCATGTGAGTCTGAATGTGCACATGCCCATTTTCACATGTACAGATGAGAGAAATTTTCTTCCTCTATTTGCTCTTTGCCTTATTGCCTTGATCAGGGTATCCCCTTAACCAGATGCTCACCACTTAGGCTAGGTTAAGCTAGAAGTCTAGCTAGTTCTTGGGACCCACCTCACTCTGTGCTCCTAATATTGTGGTTACATTCAAAAGCAGCCATCTCTAGCTTTTTTGCATGGGTGCTGGGGATTAGAACTTTACCCCTCTTTTTGGCAGAGTGAGGTCTCTAACCCTCTGAGACAGCTTTCCGACCCCTCAGCTCACAATATTCATTCACAATTCCCAGGACTCACTCATGAAGAAATGGCCTTGCGACTGTCTCTCCAAACATATGGGCTTTGTAGAACAGGGTGTAGAGGAAAGGGAGTAAGGTGTAGCGGATGGTTAAGTAGTGCCTTGATGTCTTCACCAGAAGAGAGTCTTGTCCAAAAAATGCAGGATCTTGCTCCTGTATATTATCAAAAAAATAGAATTAGAAAAATGTAAACAAACATTTAAAATGGAATCATTTTGATTATTGATTAAGTAAATTGCTTGGATTTGAGCTCTTCTATGAAAGGTTAAATACTTCCCTAATATAATAGCTTCTTTTTGACCAGATGGTTCAGGGTTCGTATCCTCAGTTGAATTTTAAATCAATTCTGTTTTGAAGCATATATTTTTCACCTAAATATATATATTTTGAAAAGGCGAAAATGTCCAAATAGAAACTTTTAAACTGTTAATTCTTTTATGATGATTCAAATTTGTCATGTTCTCAAAAACCTTAATCAAATACTCTGTGGTTTTTTTCCAAATATAACAGCATGCCTAGTATTGAATTTGTGCTCAGCTACATGGTATACTTGACCAAAGGGTTGTGGGTAACACATTCAAGCATAGGTCTGAAATGTACTAAATTCTGTCCTGTCCATAGCAATTGACCTCCAAAGGAACAGAACCACACGCAAGAAAGTTTCCTGGTCAGTTAGCAGACTTCAGCTTTGAAGTTCAACACTCCTCCTGAGCCCAAATGATCCTCTACCTAGGTAATAACTGCCTCCCTGTACCAAGGAGAACCACAACAATAAAGCTTGTTTACACAATTTGCTACAGGGTTCCTGAATTTAATGAGGCTTCCTCTTAAATTTATAGTGAAATTATCCTTTCTATTCTCTAATCCCAGCCACATAATTCACAATAGGGTTTCTGTGGCTGACGCTTTTATGGAGAATCAAAGTTATTCCAGGGGGTCCTGTTCGCCTTAACATCTTTCCAAATGACCTAGCAGAGTCTGTCAGAAACCAGCTACTGTTTGGTTCTCCCTATCCCATCACCACCCTTTTGTCAACTTCATGAGGCCCAGACCTCAACAGTGGATTGAAGTCTCACCACTCCACTGGCTTGTGGTCTCTCTGTTGTCTTACACATGCATTTTACTAATTAATCATTACCATATTCAGGCATCCAGAAATACTTGTATATATCTCTACCATGGGCATGGTTTCCTTGTAATCTCCTTTGTGCTATTTGGCTTGATTCTCTGAAGTTTCCTTACAGCCTGAGCTGTGCAGTTGGCATTTCCCAAATGGAACTAAGATTTTGTATGAGAGCAACATGTGAACACTGAAACCCTTGATCACCATGTACTTAACCGTCTTGAAGGTATAAATGGATGTTACCTTTCTCTCTTAAAAATGTGTCCATGATAGACAACAGCATGCAGATTGCATGGGAGAACAGATGGATTTTCTTACACTTCTCTTCCTACCAGATCAGAAGCACACTTTAAAAGTTACTGGTGTGTTTGCTGACATGTTTATTACACTCTTAACAATCATTAAAAAATGACTTTGGGCTCAAATTGTAAGTGTCTTGAAATTTTTGCCTTCTTTTAATAAAAAAATCTAGGAATCTTGCATAGAATGTTATATTTGTTATAAAATAAATCAATCCTTTCACTATTAAAATCCAAGACAAAACATGGTATCAATATATTTTGTTTGTGATTTTTATTTGTCTACTTTTAGACATAAAGTGTATTGACATTTGAGAAGTGGATTTCCAACATTTTCTATAAACTAGTTTACATACTTTTTAATATTACTATATTTATACTGATGAAAGAGCATTGTTTCAAAGTTCAGTTGTCCAGACTGATAGATGGGAAGTCAGCATAGGACCACACAGACCCCCTGAACGTGGGTGTCAGTTAGGAGGCAGGCCTGGGCAGTCTATAGAACCTCTGGCAGTGGATCAGTATTTATCCCTAGCATACAAATGGACTTTGGGAGCCCATTTAACATTCAAGGATACTCCCTGAGGCTAAACACATGGGAGAGGGCCTAGGCCCTTATCCAAATGATATGACAGACTTTGAAGATCACCCATGGAAGGCTTTACCCTCCCTGGGGAGCAGAAAGGGGATGGGATAGGGGATTGGTGGGGAGGGGGGGAGGGACTGGAATTGATATGTAAAACAAGCTTGTTTCTAAATTAAATTTTCAAAAGGAAAAAATACAGTTGTGTTTCTTTCAAAATATGAGGAGCAGGAATCACTTACCGCATAGCCATCAGCGTTATGGTTTCTAGAAAATGGATAAAAGGCTCCAAGTTGCATCCACCTTCTGCAGAGTTCCTCTGTAGTGTCAGCCACAAATCCACAGATGTCTGCTCCAACCTAAACAACAGTGTCTACCTTATTCCCGTGTCGACATTCTACTTTGTCTGCAGCGTTGTGGTGTATGCACCAACTAATGGGCATTGCTTAAGGTCTACTTGCTTTATTGCATTCCTGCGAATCCTCTAAACTGACTTACTCTCCGTGTTTAATTCTTCTTTTTATCTATCCACATTAATTTTATTCTCTGCCTCCCATCTCCCACCTTTTTTCACCTCCCCACCCTAATGTTCCTATTGTTAATTTTCAGAACACTTCTTGATGGCCAGGCTTAATTATTATCACTGGTTTACATGAAATATGTCTCAACAATGTTTAGCTTTAACCTATTTGGTTTCTGTCTAGGTTAAGATCTTTTGAAATGTTTGACTATTGTTAGTCACACATATTGCAAAGCTTTCTGTAGATTCCCAAACATTTTCTTGTTTTCTACAGATTTATAGTAGACATTGCAAATTCAATACTAATCATTTGAGATTATATAAACCAAAATTACCATTTCTAGGTAGGTTAGTCGCTTTCTACTTTTAATATTAAGATTTTTTGATTAGCAAAATGTTTAATTTTATTTGAATTCAATTAATTGTCTTCTGTGATTTTTTCCATTATATTCTGTTGGAGCATTATTTCATTAGCATGTCATAAATTGTACTCTTACATTTTCTTCTAAAGTGATTAAACTTTACTTTAATCATGTTTTTATCTACTTGATATTGACATTTTACAGAATATGTGAGAAATAGCAATATGTTATTTTGTATTTTCAAATGTATACTTAATCATCTATGTGAATATTTGATACCTTCTATATCTACAGTGATTT